TGGCCCAAGCGCGAAGCGCGCGGACCATAAATCGATGGAAAAAAACGAGGATCCGTAATTTTCAGTACGGACCGAAAAAACGAGGCTAATAAGATGTTTATTATATGGTTTCTTCCTGCTTGGGGGAACGGAAATAAGTGCAGGACGCACAATTTGACAGTCATTTGACAGGTGTCAAAAGAGACAGTTTTTATTGGCGCACGAAAACAATAGGACATAACAAAGGCTTTCCGAGAAAGTAAAAACAAATTCGCCATGTTGAAAAAGTTTATTAGGTCAAAACTAAGAGCACTGTGAGCTTTAGCTCTTTAATGTAACGCTGAAGTATTTTGGAAACCGGACACTGTGTCTGTCTTGAAGTCGTTTCCATCTTTCCTCCGTTTGTCCTTGTAAAAAAAAAACACTGCAAAAGGCAAAGAAGCTTTTCAAGGTAAGTTTGCTGTCATTGTTGAAGAATTCGTTAATTGTTTTTGGGAACACCTCTCTTTCTGCCAGTTCATTCTCGTCTTCAATTGTGATCTGCGTTAAAATTTTCAAACACTGACTAGAATTCTCTGCCTCGGTAAGGTTACGATTCAGTTTCTACATCAGCTACGTTCTCATTAAAACAAAGCTAGGTTAAAATTTGGAAAGGCAAAGTCAACATCCCAGTCCTCAGGATTTACAGACATATTTTAACGTTTATTCTGTCAAAACTAAGAGCACTGTAAGTACTCACTCGTTAATGTGACGCTGGAGTCTTTTGAAAACTGGACATTGTGTCTGGCTCGAACTCTCTTCTATCTTTCTTTCGTTGGCCTTAAAAAAAAACACTGCAAATGGCAAAGAAGCTTGTCAAGATGATCGGGTGCAGGTATGTTTGCTATTATATTTGTCGAAGAAATTACACATTTTCTGTTGGGCAAAACATCTGGAATCTCTGCCAGTCGATTTTCGTCTTTTTAACTGTGTGCTAAGAAAAAATTTTCAAACACTGACTAGAGTCCTCTTCGATAAGTTTACGAATCAGTTTCTTCATCGCCTTCGTCCACAAATAAACAAAGTTTGAAATGTTGAAGGCCAAAGTCAACATCCAAGTCCTAAAGGTTGACAGGCGTCTTATAACTTTATTTAAACCTTTTTTGCGCGGTAAAGAGATTTAGAGCTCCGAAATGAGCATTTTCTTTGAAAATTTTGGTCTGTATAGCAAGTTACGAACCGCAAATTGACCAATCGCATGGCGAAAACAGACTCATAAAATAATAAAATAATAATAATATCTATGAAAAATAGAAGATAAATTATTAATTTAACAGTGCTATGAATTGAATCAAAAGAAAGGTAATAGATTAGGTCTTGGCTTTAATTAAGAATGATGAAAGCAGGCAATGTGTTTACAAAGATTGCGCACAGATGACTCTGTTAAAAGTATATTAAAACTTTGAACTCAAGTGTCAAAAAAAAGTTAATTACGTTTATGTTAATTACACATATCTTGTTACAAATAAAGGGTCTGAAATGTTGAGAGTAGCGTCTGTCCTTCTTTGTTAAAAAAGGAAAAATTAAGGAAAAATTAGGCGTTCAAATCTTTGTTTGTAGTTTTAGCTTAGGCTCTATAAAAATATCCTCAATTAACTATGTATTTTTTCCGCTGCTTTCGAATTTTTACAAGTCTAAATCGTCTAAGACTTTGTCTGAACATTGGCATTCTCAGACTGTAAATCAATGGATTTACGACTGAATTGCACAGATGAATCATGGTTAACAAATATTTCACAAATTCAGGAAACGTTCCTGGAGCGAAACTAAGACAAGAAAATAAAACAAGGCTTGGAACCCAAAAGGCAGCAGATGCTCCTGTCATAAGGAAAAAAGTTTTGGAAAGTTTCCTTGTGTTTTGCTCAACCGTTTTGCGCTGATGTTTTGTAACGATTGTGGGGTCACTGCGTTTAAGTTTTTTTCGGATTGCTAGGTATGATGTGCACATCGTTGCTAGTGATAAGACGATTACGATTGAAAATGTGAGGGTATAGTGAGAAATCTCAAATATTCCGTAGCTAACCAGCCAGGTTAATGAACCCGATGAAACACCTGCTAACCAAGCGGCGCCGACACCGTAGATGAACGTCTTCGTGCTTGTTTTTCGATGACGAAGCGGCCAAATCAAAGCAAATGCACGTTCCAGAGAAATAAGAACCAGAAAGAACATCGATGTACTTAAAAATGTAACTTGAAATTGGATTACAAGAAAGTCATAAGTCGTGAAATTAAGTTTAGATTTTCTAATGTAACTAGGAAGTGCTAACACCGTCAAATGTGGTGTCATGTATGCGAATCCAACGAGAAGATCGGCTACGGCCAAATTGATAAGAAGTAAGTAAGTTCGTCTTAGTTTGTTTCGGTGAATCCAAAACACAGCTATGGTGAGAAAATTAGCAGCGAATACGATGAGAGATTGAAGAGTGGAAACACAAAGGGAAGCAATGGTTGTTGTTTGTTAGCTCCGTGCACTGTTTAACGGCACCCAGATTGCGAGAATCGAGCGAGAAGATTCTTCGTTATGCGAAAGCCTGTGCTGTGATACAGATTGGTGGCACTAATACATCCACGATTGATGGTTTTCTGTCGTTAAATACCAAAATAACTGACAAGTAAAAATCTTCCAATATTTTATCTTAAATTCTGATTTCTGATTGGCTTAAGCTCTCCCCATCACAGACAGTCATCCGGGACATACAGTTTCTTACAGGGCATAACCCTTTTCCTAGCATCGTCCTAATAAGGCAAAGGTCTAATGGAAACTTAAGTCCACTTGTATATGTAACTACGTTATTTTTATCTTTATTACTATTTATGTATCTTTGTTATTCTTCGTAATCACTATTTGTGAGCTTTTACTGAACGTTCAATTGTTGAATTTTGGATCTTTGAATCTTTTTTTGTAAGACTTTAACTTAGGTACCGTTTAGGTTTTAAGGTAGGTTTGCCGTATATCACGTGATTGTAAGCTCTTAGGTGTTACGTGTCTAAATAAACTACTTACATAAATACTTACTACTTACTATATATCCTTGGCATCAATGCAGTGTCTTAAAACACTACAAGACTTCTAAGCTAGTTGTTCTGACCGATCGCAGCTCTCCTCACGGGCATTTTCGAGCGAAATCTTTCTTCCATTACACCGCCTGTTTGCCGATCACCCAGTACAATTTCACATCTTGGACGACCCTGGAACCTTAACGACCTTAACCACCCTCCTAGTCCCACCATGACTCCAACGGAATTACTAAAACTTACAACCAAGTAGGAAAGATGACAAAACAGACACGGAATCTCCTGTAAGCCATTTGGAAATTCAATAGTGTTCATTCACTATCGTATGTTATCTGTGGAAGTAAAGTGAATGAGCCACTAGCAAAGGGGTGACAATAACACCCAGGAAAAATAACAGGTTTTAATTTTTTAAAGGCTTGTTTATTATTATTTACAAATAGAATTTGTAGGATCATTATTTGTCTAGTTACAACGGGCAACTATGGAAAACTCAAAGCCAGTTTTGTGATGTGGATGTGGAGGTTTTATACAGAAACTTGTCTCGGTAACTTAACATTTATTCAACTAATTAATTTGACTTGTCGATAAGCGAATTAGATTTTCTCCCTAATCGTGTAACTTTTTGATGGCCTGCAAATCTTCAACTTATTTGCGAGTTGCTTTAAAGTCTTCTTGAACACTGCTATTCTAAAGCTGTAAATTATTGGGTTCACGAGAGAATTTGTAACATGTAGGAAATTGGTAAGGTAATTCATAAACCCAGGAAGCAAACCGAGCCACAAGTTATTGATGTTGTACAATGTCATGCTTGGAGCTCACAAAGTAACAGATGCGCCCATCACAATAAAGAGAGTCTTGGAGAATTTTGCGCTTTGTTCCACACGCTTTCTACAGTCTGCTTTATTGATAGCAGAATTCCTGTCGTAAAGTCTTTTACAGATTAAGAGATACTACGAGCAAATTACATATAAAGATAAAAAAGTGATGATAGAGTAGGCGAATAAATAATGTCAAAAGTCTATGATACCATTCGTGGTTGAGAAATTAAGTGCACCTAATTAAGTGCACCTAGACTCAATCCAGCTAACCATATAATGGCCACGCTGTAGATATAAACCTTGGCGCTTGATACTCGATGTCGAAGCGGCCAAATCAAGGCGAAGGCTCTCTCCAGTGAAACGAGTACAAGAAAAAAACTAACCCTATGGCTGCGTATTGAACGAAAGACAGAAGATTGTCTATAGATATTAATTACGGTGGCCAAAGCAAACAGGTCAACAAGTGATAATAATGTCACTTTTCAGTCACCAATGAGTTATAGATGGGTATGGTCCAATTAAAAAGTAGTAAGTTCATTTTAATTTGCTTACCACAACTTTATATTGCATGGAGAGAATTTGCAGCGAATCTGATTACTGTGATAATATACCGGATGGAGGGAGGACATCCATAGTGCTGCAATAACAGTTTGTTTTGTTTGACTATATTCCTATAAATATAACGATGCTGTGGATAGTAACATTCGTCAATTTGAATCTAATGTAAGTGATTTTCGATGTACAGTTCAGTGGGTGAGTTATCGAATATTTATTAAAGCGGATTGATGAATCCACGTGTGATTAATATATATTTAATTTCCTAATGTCTTTGAACATTCAGTAATATCTTTTACGGTACATGCGGCATATTCTAAAAAAAAAATTAAATGATTAGAGAGTAGCCGCACAAGAGACATTTTCAGAGCATTTTGTCGGAAATACCGTATTGTGCCCTCGGGCTGGCGCTAAAAGTCAGCTCGAAATTCGACAAATGTGTTTTATACCAATATAAACTTGCTGCAAATCGGCAGAGTGTTTTTTCTAAATTTGCATGAAATTGAGGATTAGAAGATTTTTTATTGAGACTTGATAAACTAAAATACAGGTTGTTGAGGTGTAAAAGCTGCCTGTTAAAACGTGTCCAACATTTTAACTAAATGTATAACTCTTTGATCGCTTAACAACTTTAAGCTTATTTCTCACTTGTTGTATGGTTTTTTTGAACACTGGTATTCTTAAGCTATAAATTATTGGATTGACAAGGGAATTGGTGATAAGTGGCATTGTGAAAATGTGAATCACAAAATGAGGAAACAGACGTGGATACCAAACACTGATATTGTACCATGTCAAGCTAGGAACCCATAAAGCAACAGATGCTCCTATCACGATGAAAAGAGTCTTGGAGAGTTTTGTATTTTGTTCAACACATATTCTGCTGTGTGCTTTGTCGAAAGCAGGAGCTCTGTTGTTAATTCTTTTCCTGATAGACAGGTAAGACACACAAATCGCAATCAAGGAGAAACCGATGATGACCGCCGCACCAACCGCGAAATACGTTAAATTATAGATTCCAAGGAAAGCAATAAAACTGCTTACACCCATAGCTATCCCAGCTAACCATGCGATAACCACACTGTAAATGTAAACCTTGGTGCTTGTTACGCGATGACGAAGCGGCCAGTTCAAGGCAAAGGCTCGTTCCAGAGAAATCAGAACGAGAAAAAATACAGATGCGGACGAGGATAAGATTTGAAAAGAAGGTGGAACGCTTTCATTGACTCCTTGGATTGTTTTGTTTGAGTCGATTTGATCTGCTAAAGTCCACCCACCAGCGACCTCTATTATTTCGGTGAGCCCAGTAAAGAGGTCCGCCACAGCCAGGTTGATAACGAGAAAACTTGTTCGCGTTAGTTTCTTTCGATGAATCCAGAAAACAAACACAGTGAAAGTGTTAGAAATAAAAACAAAGACGGATAGAAGACCAAGAAGGCACAAAACTACAATGGCTGCCATATCATTTGTCGTAACGACAGAGATAAAGTTACATGTCTGAGTTTCTTTTTTCGGAGAAGATTATAATCCGCATGAGAGCCTACAGGTGTGATAACGTTACCTGAACTACCTTGGCTTGAAAAGGCCCTTCATATTAACAAAATGTACCAAAAGAGCTTCATGAAAGATAATGAATTATTTAACACCAAGTCAATTTAATTTGAGAGACTGATTCACATATCTCACTTCAACACAAAAGGAAGAAGAACAAGATGATGATGAAGAACTGAAGTCCTTTATTTTGACACGGACGATAAAAGCTAACAAGCCTGTAGGGTTGAGTGTAAATTAAGGAAATCTATTATCTATAGAAGAAAATAAACAAAAAATAAAACAGCTAACATCAGATATGTACAATGTTTACAGTAGGAAACGATCAAATGTAAGAAAATTATCATTTCAATACTGGACAGGTGAAGCTAAAATAAGGTTGAAATAATAAATTATTAAGAAGGAATCAATCACGAAATTGAGTAATTTTAATTTTCAGTGGACACAAACCTTGTACCAGAATAATTAAAACAATATCGCATTCTTTTGTACACTTTTCGAGGGCTACAGAATGTAATTAGGTTTCTGTAATAACACCGAAGAAAATTTCCAATGGGAGCCCGAGAAAATAAAACGAATGTCAGATTTCACAAAATGACATCTTACACATGAAATTTTCAGAATTTTACCTTTCTTTTTTACAATTCTTGTGAAATTTGACATTCATTTTCTCGGGCTCCCATTAGGAATAGTCGGTGTTATTATAGATAAGAATTATATCTACAGCCCTTGAAAAAAGTAAAAAAAGAATGCGATATTGTTTAAATCATTCCGGTTCAAGGTTTTTGTCCACTCAAAGTTGAAATTACTCAATTTCCTGTTGGATTCCGTTTTAACATGTCAATCCAGTTTCTAAAGATTCCATTAAATTTGCGTGCGCCACCGCAAAATTCTTGCCTTTAAAAGAAGTCAAAGAAAAGATGTGTAGTACTATAATTTAACACGAAAAAAGAAAGAAGAAGAAAAAAAACACAAGCAAGAACAATAACAATAAAATTACTGACTAATCATAATAAAACACAAAACATCGAGGGAAAATTTGAACTGTTTTTCTTTTCTGTTTTTATAAATATGGGCTAACATTCTACCATCCTACATCCACAAATCCCAGGTTTTATCAATTGATGGTTTACATAAAATATTTCTTCAATCATTTATAAGAAGAGGAAAATAATTTCCTCGTTTGCTTAACCTGGCCTAAGTTGATGGTAACAAAATGAAATTACAGAGAAATATTACAAACGCACCGCTCTGGTTTTTTCTTTAAATAATCTATGCTTATCAATTCTGACTGGCTTAGGGTTACGCGATTGGACTTTTCATGGCTTCCAAGTTTGAGTAGTAACTAACAAAGATATCTCGGTCGTCCGCAGTTGAAATCCTCGGTCACACTTGTAAATAGCCAATTGGTGCAGCCTCCCACCAGTTGGGGTTTTTAGTAGAGAGCTTTAGATTCTAAGACGAGTACGACCACGAGTACGAGATTTTCTCAATACAAAGTAGTGTACGCGCGTGAACCAGCGTCATTTTGGCGGGAAAACGTGGTAGCCGTCGTCATTCTACTACGAGTTTTCGCGCAAATGTTGAGGTGGCGAAAACAAGATATCCAATTTAAAAGCTGTATCATTTTGCGATCGAGAGAGCGCGTAACCTGCTTCACTAAAGGGAAGTCTACATTTTGAGAAGACGCGAAAAAACGTTAAGTACAATCTCGTACTCGTAGCCGTCCTGGTCTTCGAATCTAAAGGTCTCTATTCCTGTTATGTTCTATTTGCATCATTTGTTTCAGAATTATTTGAGTGGAGTGCCTGTAAACTAGCTGGATAAGCTAAGTGCACTTTCCACTATAAAGAAACCTTTAATTTTTTTTTTTGGCTCTAATACTCTGGCTCTAATTAATTTACCGTGTACATTTTCGCTCGCTTGACAAGTTTTATCTTGTCTCTCAATTGTTCATAGCTTCTCCTGAATATTGGCATTTTTAAACTATAAATGACTGGATTAACAAGAGAATTAGTCAAATGTACCATTGTGGAAAGGTGAGCAACAAAATGAGGAAGCAGGCTTGGAAACCATAGACTGATATTGTACCATGTAACGCTAGGAACCCACAAAGCAGCAGATGCACCGATCGTGATAAAAAGAGTCTTGGAAAGTTTTGTATTTTGTTCGATGCTTATTCTACTATGCTCTGTGACGATAGCAGGAGATCTGTTGTTGATTTTTTCGTGATGGACAGGTAAGACACACAAATCGTAATCAAGGAGAAACCAATAATGATTGTAGCAGCAACTGCAAAATACTTCACTTGGTATTTTCTAACTACAGCAAGGAAACTGAATACACCTATAGTTATCCCAGCTAGCCACGCTATAACCACGCTATAGGTGTAGACCTTTCTGCTTGTTACACGATGTCGAAGCGGCCAAATCAAAGCAAAGGCTCGTTCCAGGGAAATCAGCACGAGAAAAAACACAGATGCACACGAGAAAGATGCTACAAAAGGGGCTACAATGCTACCTTTCATCTCGGTAATAGTTTCGTTTGAGCCGATATGTTTTGGAAGAGCAAATGCTCCGACCTCTACAGTATCTGTGAGTCCAATAAGGAGATCCGCCACAGCCAAGTTAATAACAAGAAAGCTTGTTCGTTTCAATTTACTGTGATGGACCCAGAAAACAAACACGGTGAAAGCGTTAGAAATACAAACGATGATAGACAGAAAAGTGAGAAGGACTAAGACTGCAATGGAAGCAGTATCAACAGACATTTCAACATACATGTGGATAACGTTCAAAAATTATTAGAATTTTAAATAACAGCATTCGAAACAGAACTAATATAACAGAACAGAATATTCTGTATATAGCCCAGTAGTGTTGTCTGATTTTATAATTTTGGTGATCGCTTTCTTTGCAGTGCCCTGCTACCTGGGGGGAAATAGTTCCTTATATAAGCACACCTCCACCCAAAAAGAGTTTCAATAAGCACATGAAATGTATTATTTAACAATCACTCAGTTGTATATGGAAGACTGAATGACATATCTCAAAGCAAGACAAAAGCCCAAGGGATGATTTGAACGCATTTTGCTTTGCCTAAATGCGTTTACAATGTTTGAAAAATCTAGCATGGCTTTTAAGGTTTACAATCAATATGCTAAGTAACATAATTTCTACTGAAATTAAAAGTTGTGAAACCATGTAATTATAAATATTAAATAAAAAACAGAGACTACTAAAAATTTAAACGGCTAAGCCAAAGGGTCATGTAGCAGCTGCTCTCAAGAGAAGCCACCAAGGGTGCCTAACCCCAGCCCCAAACAATACTAAAACAATTGAAAGAATGTCATTTTTTCTGCGAGCAATTAGGAGAGACCTTCTAAGCAGCTCCTACACTACCCAAGCCCAATTTTGAAATGAAATTTGAAAAAAAAAGATTTCTTTAATTAAATGTGTGTTGACACAATTGTGTTACTACATCACCCTTATTTTTTTCTTTTTTTTAACCAACGTACCTATAGTTTCCAAGAGAAATCTACCTTTGAACATAAAAGAAAAAATCGGCCCATAAAATGATAAATCATGTTAAAATGATATGGAAAATAGTGAACTTTTATTTTCCTAAAAAAAGGGTATTTTCTGCTCATTAATCGATTCAAAAGTTTTCATGACTGATATGAAATTGACTTGCTGCTAGGGGATAATTGAACTTCATTGCATTTAAAATGAAATCCATTAGGAAATTGTCAAATGAGTAGTTTTAATTTTCCGTTGTCAAAAACCTTGTACCAGAATAATCTCAAGCATATTGCTTTCTTTTTCACACTTTTCAAGGGCTATTAATGTAGTTATAAGTATAAACTTCAAAGAAGAGGTTCTTTATATTGGAGCCCGAGAAAACGTAAAACAAACTTCAAAAGCCTCACATTTTACAAAATGAGGTGTTAGCAATGACGAATTTACCTGTACGGTGTTTTCTCAATTACTATGAAATTTGAAATTCATTTTCTCAAGCTCCCGTTAGAAATTCTCTTTGGTGTTTTTACAGATAACTAATTACATCTATAGCCCTTGACAAGTGTAAAAAAGAATTTGATATGGCTTATTTTTCTTTTTTCTGGTGCAAAGCTTTTGTCCACTGAAAATTAATATAACATAATTTCCTTTGGATTTCTACTTAATATCTTCTCTGTATTTTTGAACCCGTGTTGATAATATATTTTGCCATGACATATCCGCAACTTTTATTTATTTTAGGTTTTAACAATCGTTTGTTCACATAATACTTCCTTAATTTTTAATAGAAAAGAGGAATTTTTTAAAACTTTTTCCCGCTTTCTGGATAAAACGCTTACTTTAAAACTACATTGTAAAAAGAGCGGGGACAGATGAGTAAGGGTGAGAGGAGAAATTAAAAAGCGATTTTGTTTTACTGCGCATCATTCGTGGTTATTTTGTTAAACGCTATTAATATAAGTAGATATTTCCCTTTTAATTTCGTTCAAACGATGTTAGCCTTTTACTTCGGCTTGAATCCTACTTCTATTATTTTTCAAAAAGGTATGAGTCAATCTCTCATCCCCAAAATAATATTAAAATATTGTGAAGTCTAAATGCGGCCGCGGCACTGCCGATCAAAATGTTGACAGTCAAATTTTAGACAAAAATCTCAAGCGGTTCATAAAGAGAAAAGAAAACATTGGGACTTAAAAAATTCTAGAAAACTTAAAAGATGCTTTAAGCATCATCTCCTGCTTTTATATTACAAATGAAATGAAGAAAATCCTGTCGCCATCATTTTACGCCGAACTTTTCATGAGCCCAAAGCTAACTCGAAATAAGGCCGACTCAAATTATTTAGATCAGCTGAATTGATTCAGGCGCCGATCTTAATTACAGCTGAACTAGCTTTATAGTGAGTTCAGCAAAAGCAAAACTACAGTGTACAAAATACGATTTAATAATTTATGCATCAGGTTTGGTACATGAAACGTTCTGCTTTCTGAATCAAAGCCATTCCAAAGTCGCTCCAAAGGCGAAATTCCTGGCCGGGCAAGGCGAAAAGAACGGCTGAACCGTGTGAAATTGAAATAGGTGTTCCTATTATTCAGACGCCGAAACTTGTCATGTACTTACTTATTAGGTTCGGATAGGATAGGTTCGGTTCCTGAAAAGTTCGACCTGAACCCGGGTCCCAGATTTCATTTTTCAAGTGTCGAGCTCAGATTACAAAGCTTGGTCACTACAATGTATATTTCTTTTATGTTACGTAGGCTTTATAAAAATATCCTCAATTAACTATGTATTTTTTCCGCTGCTTTCGAAATTTTACAAGTCTAAATCGTCTAAGACTTTGTCTGAACATTGGCATTCTCAGACTGTAAATCACTGGATTTACGACGGAATTGCATATATGAATTATGATTAACAAATATTTCACAAATTTAGGAAACATTCCTGGAGCGAAATTAAGACAAGAAAATAAAACAAGGCTTGGAACCCAAAAGGCAGCAGATGCTCCTGTCATAAGGAACAAAGTTTTGGAAAGTTTCCTTGTGTTTTGCTCAACCATTTTGCGCTGATGTGTTGTACCGATTGTGGGGTCACTGCGTTTAAGTTTTTTCGGATTGCTAGTTATGATGTGCACATCGTTGCCAGTGATAAGACGATTACGATTGAAAATGTGAGGATATAGTGAGAAATCTCAAAGATTCCGTAGCTAACCAGCCAGGTTAATGAACCCAAAGAAACACCTGCTAACCAAGCGGCGACGAGACCGTAGATGAACGCCTTCGTGCTTGTTGTTCGATGAAGAAGCGGCCAAATCAAAGCAGATGCACGTTCCAGAGAAATAAGAACCAGAAAGAACATCGATGTACTTAAAAATGTAACATGAAATTGGATTACAAGATAGTCATAAGTCGTGACATTAAGTTTAGATTTTCTAATGTAACTAGGAAGTGCTAACACCGTCAAATGTGGTGTCACGTATGTGAATCCAACGAGAAGATCGGCCACGGCCAAATTGATAAGAAGTAAGTAAGTTCGTCTAAGTTTGTTTCGGTGAATCCAAAACACAGCTATGGTGTGAAAATTAGCAGCGAATACGATGAGAGATTGAAGAGTGGAAACACAAAGGGGAGCAATGGTTGCTGTTTGGTCTGACATTAGTATACTCTTACTGTAGATTGAAGCCTTCGTTAACTTAGTGACGTTTTAGCTCCGTGCACTGTTTAACCGCACCCTGATTGCGAGAATCGAGCGAGAAGATTCATTGTTATGCGAAAGCCTGTGCTGTGATACAGATTGGTGGCACTAATACATCCACGATTGATGGTTTTCTGTCGTTAAATACCAAAATAACTGACAAGTAAAAATCTTGGAATATTTTGTCTTAAATTCTGATTTCTGATTGGCTGAAGCTCTCGCGATCACAGACAGTCATCCGGGACATACAGTTTCTTACAGGGCATAACCCTTTTCCCAGCATCGTCCTAATAAGGCAAAGGTCTAATGGAAACTTAAGTCGACTTGTATATGTAATTACGTTATTTTTATGTCTATTACTATTTGTGAATCTTTTTTATTCTTCGTAATCACAATTTGTGCGCTTTTACTGAACGTTCAGTTGTTGAATTTTGTATATTTTAATCTTTTTTGTACGAATGTATTTTTTTATGAAATCGATATTATATATGAAGTAGTTATAGTTTTAACTTGGGTACCGTTTAGCTTTTTAAGGTAGGTTTGCCGTATATCACGTGATTGTAAGCTCTTAGGTGTTACCTCTCTAAATAAACTACTTACCTACTTACTTACTACTTACTATGTATCCTTGGCATCAATGCAGTGTCTTAAAACACAACAAGACTTCTGAGCTATCTGTTCTGACCGATCGCAGCTCTCCTCACCGGCATTTTCGAGCGAAATCTTTCTTCCATTACACCACTTGTTTTCCGATCACCCAGTAAAAATTCACATCTTGGACGATCCTGGAACCTTAACCACCCTCTAATTACTAAACCCTTCAACCAAGTAGGAAAGATGACAAAACGGACAAGGAATCCCCTGTATGCTATTTGGAAATTCAATAAATTCAATAGTGTTCATTCACCATCGTATGTTATCTGTGGAAATAAAGTGAACGAGCCACTGGCAAAGGGTACAATAACACCAAGGAAAAATAGCAGGTTTTAATTTTTTAAAGGCTTGTTTATTATTATTTACAAATAGAATTCGTAGGATCATTATTTATCTAGTTACAACTGGCAACTATGGAAAATTCAAAACCAGTTTTGTGATGAGGATGTGGAGCTTTTTAGAGAAACTTGTCTCGGTAACTTAACATTTATTCAACTAATTAATTTGACTAAGCGAATTAGATTTTCTCCCTAATCGTGTAACTTTTTGATGGCCTGCAAATCCTCAACTTATTTGCGAGTTGCGTTAAAGTCTTCTTGAACACTGCTATTCTAAAGCTGTAAATTATTCGGTTCACGAGAGAATTTGTAACATGTAGGAAATTGGTAAGGTAATCCATAAACCCAGGAAGCAAACCGAGCCACAAGTTATTGATGTTGTACAATGTCATGCTTGGAGCCCACAAAGTAACAGATGCGCCTATCACAATAAAGAAAGTCTTGGAGTATTTTGCACTTTGTTCCACAAGCTTTCTACAGTCTGCTTTATCGATAGCAGGATTTCTGTCGTAAAGTCTTTTACGGATTAAGAGATACGACGAGCAAATTACAAATAAAGATAAAAAAGTGATGATAGAGTAGGCGAATAAATATTGTCGAACGTCTATGACACCATTCGTGGTTGAGAAATTAAGTGCACCTAGACTCAATCCAGCTAACCATATAATAGCCACGCTGTAGAAATAAACCTTGGTGCTTGTTACTCGATGTCGAAGCGGCCAAATCAAGGCGAAGGCTCTCTCCAGTGAAACGAGTACAAGAAAAAAACTAACCCTATGGCTGCGTATTGAACGAAAGACAGTAGATTGTCTATAGATATTAATTACGGTCGCCAAAGCAAGCAGGGCAACAAGTGATAATGCCACTTTTCAGTCACCAATGAGTTATAGATGGCTATGGTCCAATTAAAAAGTAGTCAGAAGTTCATTTTAGTTTGCTTAACACAACTTTATATTGCATGGAGAGAATTTGCAGCGAATATGATTACTATAATAATATACAGGGTCGAGGGAGGACATCCATAGTGCTGCAATAACAGAGTGTTTTGTTTGACTATATTCCTATAACTATGCTGTGGATAGTAACATTCGTCAATTTGAATCTAATGTAAGTGATTTTCGATGTACAGTTCAGTGGGTGAGTTATCGAATATTTATTAAAGCGGATTGCTGAATCCACTTGTGATTAATATATATTTGATTTCATAATGTCTTTGAACATTCAGTATATCTTTTACGGTACATGCGGCATATTCTAAAAAAATTTAAATGATTAGAGAGTAGCCGCACAAGACACATTTCAGAGTATTTTGTTGGAAATACCATATTGTGCCCTCGGGCTGGCGCTAAATGTCAGCTCGACGTCGACAAATGTGTTTCATACCAATATAAACTTGCTGCAAATCGGCAGAGTGTTTTTTCTAAATTTGCATGAAATTGAGGATTAGAAGATTTTTTATTGAGACTTGATAAACTAAAATACAGGTTGTTGAGGTGTAAAAGGTAAAAGCTCCCTGTTAAAACGTGTCGAACATTTCAACTAAATGTATAACTCTTTGATCGCTTAACAACTTTAAGCTTATTTCTCACTTGTTGTATGGTTTTTTTGAATACTGGTATTCTTAAGCTATAAATTATTGGATTGACAAGGGAATTGGTGATATGTGGCATTGCAAAAATGTGAATCACAAAATGAGGAAACAGACGTGGATACCAAACACTGATATTGTACCATGTCAAGCTAGGAACCCATAAAGCAACAGATGCTCCTATCACGATGAAAAGAGTCTTAGAGAGTTTTGTATTTTGTTCAACACTTATTCTGTTATGCTCTGTGTCGATAGCAGGAGTTCTGCTGTTAATTCGTTTCCTGATGGACAGGTAAGACACACAAATCGTAATCAAGGAGAAACCGATGATGACCGCCGCACCAACCGCAAAATACTTTAAATTATAGATTCCAAGGAAAGCAATAAAACTGCTAACACCTATAGCTATCCCAGCTAACCATGCGATAACCACACTGTAAATGTAAACCTTGGTGCTTGTTACACGATGACGAAGCGGCCAGATCAAGGCAAAGGCTCGTTCCAGAGAAATCAGAACGAGAAAAAATACAGATGCAGACGAGGATAAGATTTGAAAAGAAGGTGGAACGCTTTCATTGACTTCTTGGATTGTTTTGTTTGAGTCGATGTGTCCTGCTAAAGTCCATCCACCAGCGACCTCTATTATTTCTGTGAGTCCAGCAAAGAGGTCCGCCACAGCCAGGTTGATAACGAGAAAGCTTGTTCGCGATAGTTTCTTTCGATGAATCCAGAAAACAAGCACAGTGAAAGTGTTAGAAATGAAAACAACGACGGACAGAAGAACAAGAAGGCACAAAACTGCAATGGCTGCCGTATCGTTTGTCATAACGACCGAGATAAAGTGAAACGGTTTTTTTTTTCGAAGAAGAATAATCCGTACGAGAGCCTACCGATAACGTTACCTGAACTACCTTGGCGTGAAAAGGTTCTTAGTCATATCAACACAGTTGTACCAAAAGAGCTTCAAGAATGATAATGAATTATTGAACACCACGTCAATTTAATTTGAGAGACTGATTCACACATCTCACTTCAAGACAAAAGGTAGAAGAAGAAGATGATGATGAAGAACTGAAGGCCTTTATTTTGACACGAATGATAAAAGCTAACAAGCCTTTGGGGTTGAGTTTAAATTAAGGTAATCTATTATCTATAGAAGAAAATAAACAAAAAATAGAACAACTAATTAACATCAGATATGTACAATTTTTACAGTACGAAAAGATCAAATGTAAGTAAATCATTATTTCAATACTGGACAGGTGAAGCTAAAATAAGGTTGAAATAATAAATTATTAAGAAGGAATACATCAGAAAATTGAGTAATTTTAATTTTCAGTGGACAAAAACCTTGTACCAGAATAATTAAAACGATATCGCATTATTGTTTACACTTTTTCAAGGGCTACAGAATGTAATTAGTTATCTGTAATAACACCAAAGAAAATTTCCTATGGGAGCCCGAGAAAATTTAACGAATGTCAGATTTCTCAAAATGACATCTTACATGAAATTTTCAGAATTTTGCCTTTCTTTTTTACAATTCTTGTGAAATTTGACATTTATTTTCTCGGGCTCCCATTATAGAAATAGTCGGTGTCATTATAGATAAGAATTATATCTATATCCCTTGAAAGAAGTAAAAAAGAATGCGATATTGTTTAAATTATTCTGGTACTAGGTTTTTGTCCACTCAAAGTTGAAATTACTTAATTTCCTGATGATTCCGTCTTAACATGTGAATCCAGTTTTAAATGTGCCTGGACCACCGCAAAATTCTTGTCTTTAAAAGAAGTCAAAGAAGAGACGTACTATTTAACACGAAAAAAAAAAAGTAGAAGAGGGAAAAAAAAAGCACTACGAAAAACAAGAACAATAAGTTACTGACTAATCATAATAAAACACAAAATAATAATTAGGGAAAATTTGAACTGTTTTTCTTTTTTGTTTTTATAAACATGGGCTAACATTCTACCATCCTACATCGACAAATCCCAGGTTTTATCAATGGACGATTTACATAAAATATTTCTTCAGTCATTTATAAGAAGAGTAAAATAATTTTCTCTTTTGCTTAACCTGGCTTAAGATAATCGTAAAAAAATGAAATACAGAGAATTATTATAAACGCCCCGGTCTGGTTTTTTCTTTAAATAATCTATGCTTATCAATTCTGACTGGCTTAGTGTTACGCGATTGGACTTTTCATGGCTCCCAAGTTTGAGTCGTAACTAACAAAGATATCTCAGTCGTCCCGAGTTCAAATCCTCGGTCACGCTTGTAAATAGCCAATTGGTGCAGCCTCCCGCCAGTTGGGGTTTTTAGTAGAGAGCTTTACATTCTAAGACGAGTACGACTACGAGTACGAGATTTTCTCAATACTAAGTAGTGTACGCACGTGAGCCAGCGTCACTTTGGCGGGAAAACGTGTGGTAGCCTTCGTCATTCTACTACGAGTTTTCGCGCGAATGTCGTGGTGGCGAAACGAGATATCAAATTTTAAAAGTTTTATCATTTTGCGATCGGGTGAGCGCGTAACCTCCTTCACTAAAGATAACAATGCTAACTTCCTAGTAAAAAATGGTAAAATGAAGCTTTGCGGGAAGTCTACATTTTGAGAAGACGCGAAAAAACTTCAAGTCAAATCTCGTACTCGTAGTCGTCCTCGTCCTCAAATGTAAAGGTCTCTCTTCCTGTTATGTTCTACTTGCATCATTTGTTTCAGAATTATTTGAGTGGAGTGCCTGTAAACTAGCTGGATAAGCTAAGTGTACTTTCCACTATAAACAAACCTTTAATTTTTTTTAAATCTAATCCTCTGGCTCTTACTAATTAATTTACTGTGTACCTCTTCGCTCGCTTGACAAGTTTTATCTTGTCTCTCAATTGTTCATAGCTTCTTCTGAATATTGGCATTTTTAAACTATAAATGACTGGATTAACAAGAGAATTAGTCAAATGTACCATTGTGGAAAGGTGAGCAACAAAATGAGGAAGCAGGCTTGGAAACCATAGACTGATATTGTACCATGTAACGCTAGGAACCCACAAAGCAGCAGATGCACCGATCATGATAAAAAGAGTCTTGGAGAGTTTTGTATTTTGTTCGATGTTTATTCTGCTATGCTGTGCGTCGATAGCAGGAGTTCTGTTGTTCATTTTTTTCCTGATGGACAGGTAAGACACACAAATCGTAATCAAGGAGAAACCAATAATGATTGTAGCAGCAACTGCAAAATACTTCACTTGGTATTTTTTAACTACAGCAAGGAAACTGAATACACCTATAGTTATCCCAGCTAGCCACGCTATAACAACGCTATAGGTGTAGACCTTTCTGCTTGTTACACGATGTCGAAGCGGCCAAATCAAAGCAAAGGCTCGTTCCAGGGAAATCAGCGCGAGAAAAAACACAGATGCACACTAGAAAGAGGCTACAAAAGGGGCTACAATGCTACCTTTCATCTCCGTAATAGTTTCGTTTGAGCCGATATGTCTTGGAAGAGCAAATGCTCCGACCTCTACAGTATCTGTGAGTCCAATAAGGAGATCCGCCACAGCCAAGTTAATAACAAGAAAGCTTGTTCGTTTCAATTTACTGTGATGGACCCAGAAAACAAACACGGTGAAGGCGTTAGAAATACAAACGATGATAGACAGAAAAGCGAGAAGGATTAAGACTGCAATGGAAGCAGTATCACCAGACATTTCGACATAAAAACTTCCAGACCTTCTGGAGAATATTCTGTATATAGCCCAGTAGTGTTGTCTGATTTTATAGTTTTTGGTGATCGCTTTCTTTGCGGTGCCCTGCTACCTGGGGTAAAATAGTTGCTTATATAAGCACACCTTCACCCAAAAAGAGTTTCATTAAGCACAGGAAATGTATTATTTAACAACCACTCAGTTGTATATGAAAGACTGAATGACATATCTCAAAGCAAGACAAAACCCAAGGGATGATTTGAACGCATTTTGCTTTGCCTAAATGCGTTTACAATTTTTGAAAAATCTAGCATGGCTTTTAAGGTTTACAATCAATATGCTAAGTAACATAATTTCTAATGAAATTAAAATTTGTGAAACCGTGTAATTATAAATATTAAATTAAACAGCAGAGACTACTAAAAATTTAAACGGCGAAGCCAAAGGGTCATGTAGCAGCTGCTCTGAAGAGAAGCCACCAATGGTGCCTATCCTCGGCCCCAAACAATACTAAAACAATTGAAAGAATGTCATTTTTCCTGCAAGCAATTAGGAGAGACCTTCCGAGCAGCTCCTACACTACCCAAGCAAAATTTTGAAATGTAATTTGAACATAATTTTTTTTAATTAAATGTGCGTTGACCTTGATTGTGTTACTACACCACCCTTAACTTATTTCTTTTCTTTTTTTAACCAAAGTACCTATAATTTCCAAGAGAAATCCACCTTTGAACACAAAAGAAAAAATCTGCTCATAGAATGATAAATTATGTTAAAATGATCAGGAAAATAGTGAACGCTTAATTTCCTAAAAATGACTGATTTGAAATCAACATGCTGCTAGGGGATAATTGAACTTCATTGTATTTAAAATGAAATTCATTAGGAAATTGAGTAGTTTTAATTTTCAGTGGACAAAAACCTTGTACCAGAATAATCTCAAGCATATTGCATTTTTTTCACACTTTTCAAACGCTATTAATGTAATTATAAGTTGTATAATAAAACTCCGAAGAAGAGGTTCTTTATATTGGAGCCCAAGAAAACGTAAAACAAACTTCAAAAGCCTCACATTTTACATAATGAGATGTTTGCAATGACGAATTTACCTGAACTGTGTTTTCTCAATTACTATGAAAAGTGAAATTCATTTTCTCAAGCTCCTGTTAGAAATTGTCTTTGGTGCTTTGATAATCAGCTTTTACTCAACCCAGATAAAACAAAACTAGTGATATTCGGCAGCCGGCAAATGACTGCTAAGGTTAGCGACTTTAGGCTATTTCTGTTGGGGAAGGAACTCGAGCCCGTTAAGGCTGCAAGAGACCTTGGTGTTACACTGGACTCTAACTTAACATATAATGAGCATATTGTTTCTACTGTATCCTCATGCATGTCACGTTTGGGCCAAATTAACCGCGTTAAGCATATTTTTAATAAACACGCGCTAATTATTATTATAAATGCCTTAGTATTTAGTAAATTATTCTATTGCTCTTCTGTTTGGAGCAATACTACTCAAACTAATCTGGACAGGCTCCAAGCAGTACAGAATTTCGCTTGTCGTATTTTGAGCGGCGCTAAAAAATTCGATCACATAACTCCTTTGCTAAAAGACTTGCGCTGGCTACCAATCAGGCAATAACTTTATTTTCGTTTTGCTGTTCTGGTTTTTAAGTGCATGACGAGTTGTGCTCCGGAGTATTTGACATCAAAGCTCGTTGGAAGATCCGCCGTCTCGACAAGGAATACGAGAAATTCTCAACTTTTGAACATACCACTCTTCCGCACTGCCAGCGGCCAAAGGACCTTTCAATATAGAGCAACCTCTCTCTGGAATGAGTTGCAGCCTGCGCTCAGACTTAGCCCATCCGTGACGGAATTCAAGTGTTTACTCAGGCAAAAGCTTCTTAATGACTGCTTTATTTAATTAATTTAATTAATTTTATTGACCTTTGTCTTCTTTTATCATTGTTATATTCTTATTGTCATGTACTTGGTTTATAATTTTGTAATGTAAAATTGACTCTGAAAAGCCCCGTGGGGACGAGCCAATAAAGTATGTATGTATGTATGTATGTATGTATGTATGTATAACTAATTCATCTGTAGCCCTTGACAAGTATAAAAAAGAATGTGATATGGCGTAATTTTCTTTTTTCTGGTCCAAGGCTTTTGTCCACTGAAAATTAATATATAACTCAATTTCCTAATGGATTTCTTCTTAATATCTTCTCTGCATTTTTTAACCCGTGTTAATAAAAATATTTTACCACGACATATCCGCAACTTTTATTTATTTTAGGTTTTAACCATGGTTTGTTGATATAATCCTTAACTTTTAATAGAAAAGGAGAATTTTTTAAAACCATTTTCCCCCTTTCTAGATAAAACGCTTACTTTAAAACTACATTGTAAAAAGATCGGGGACAGATGAGTAAGGGTGAGACAAGAAATTAAAAAAAGATTTTGTTTTATTGCGCATCATTCTTCGTTATTTTGTTAAACGCTAATAATATAACTAGATATTTCTCTTTTTACTTCGTTCAAGCCTTTTACTTCGGCTTGAATCCTATTGCTATTATTTTTCAATAAGGTATGAGTCAATCTCTGATAAATTTTAATCTAAGAACCACCCCCAAAAATAATATTAAAATATTGTGAAGTCTAAATGCTGCGGCGGCACTGCCGATGAAAATGTTGAAGTCAAATTTTAGACAAAAATCGCAAGCGGTTCATAGAGAGAAAAGAAAACAATGGAACTATAAAAGTTCGAGAAAACTTAAAAGATGCTTTAAGCATAATCTCCTGCTTTTGAATTAAAAATGAAATGAAGAAAATCCTGTCGCCATCATTTTACGCCGAACTTTTCATGAGCCAAAGCTAACTCGAAATAAGGCCGACCCAAATTATTTAGATCAGCTGAATTGATTCAGACGCCGATCTTAATTACAGCTGAACTAGGGTGTTCAGCAAAAGGCAAAACTACAGTGTACAAAACACGATTTAATAAATTATGCATCGGGTTTGGTACATGAAAAGTTCCGCTTTCTGAATGAAAGCCGCTCCAAAGTCTCTCCAAAGGCGAAATTCCTGGCCGGGCAAGGCGAAAGGAACGGTTAAACCGTGTGAAATTGAAATAGGTGTTACTATTATTCAGACACCGAACTTGTCATGTACTTAGTTCAACGTAGTAGGTTCGGATAGGATAGGTTCGGTTCATGAAAAGTTCGACCTGAACCCGGGGCCCAGATTTCATTTTTCAAGTGTCGAGCTCAGATTACAAAGCTTGGTCACTACAATGTATATTTGTTTTATCTTAGGCTCTATAAAAATATCCTCAATTAACTCTGTATTTTTTCCGCTGCTTTCGAATTTTTATAAAGTCTAAGTCGTCTAAGACTTTGTCTGAACATTGGCATTCTCAGACTGTAAATCACTGGATTTACGACGGAATTGCACATATGAATCATGATTAACAAATATTTCACAAATTCAGGAAACATTCCAGGAGCGAAATTAAGACAAGAAAATAAAACAAGGCTTGGAACCCAGAAGGCAGCAGATGCTCCTGTCATAAGGAACAAAGTTTTGGAAAGTTTTCTTGTGTTTTGCTCAACGGTTTGCCGCTGATGTGCTGTTTCGCTTGTAGGGTCACTGCGTTTAAGTTTTTTTCGGATTGCTAGTTATGATCTGCACATCGTTGCCAGTGATAAGACGATTACGATTGAAAATGTGAGGGTATAGTGAGGAATCTCAAATATTCCGTAGCTAACCAGCCAGGTCAATGAACCCAAAGAAACACCTGCTAACCAAGCGGCGAGGACACCGTAGATGAACGTCTTCGTGCTTGTTGTTCGATGAAGAAGCGGCCAAATCAAAGCAAATGCACGTTCCAGAGAAATAAGAACCAGAAAGAACATCGATGTACTTAAAAATGTGACTTAAAATTGGATTACAAGATAGTAATAAGTCGGGACATTAGGTTTAGATTTTCTAATGTAACTAGGAAGTGCTAACACCGTCAAATGTGGTGTCACGTATGCGAATCCAACGGAAAGATCGGCTACGGCCAAATTGATAAGAAGTATGTAAGTTCGTCGTAGTTTGTTTCACAGCTATGGTAAGAAAATTAGCAGCGAACACGATGAGAGATTGGAGAGTGGAAGCACAAAGGGAAGCAATGGCTGGTGTTTGGTCTGACATTAGTATACTCTTACTGCAGATTGAAGCCTTCTTTAACTTAGTGACGTTTTAGCTCCGTGCACTGTTCAACCGCACCCTGAATGCGAGAATCGAAGGAGAAGATTCTTCGTTATTCTTCGAATTTTTTCCAAAATCCGCCTTCTAGTATTGTCAATCTATTTGAAAACAAACATACCGATCACAAGGATAGGAAAATACCTTACATTAGATTTAATCATGTTTATTTGCCTGACACACGAAAGTACCGCAATGTTTAGATAACCCACTGAGATATAAAAAAAAAGGAACAGCAATTTTAGTTAAAGATTCATTTATATATCACATTTGAAAACAAACCTTGAGAATAATTTGAAATTGGTGAATTCAGGGTTCCCTTGATGGTTAACATTTATTCGTATGACATGTATACCGTGATTCGTGGATTCAAAACGTTTGAATCATTTAAAACTGTTGAGTGCGATCCAGGGTGGATAATGAAATTTAAGGTTTTCGACTGGCGTACTCATAATTTTTTTCAATCTATTTCATGTTCCCTATCAAGTTGCCCTTATTTTAAGATAATGGTCCAAACAAGCGGGGTACATTGTTTTTGGTAGCATAGTGAATGGTATCAACCCAGGAGACATTTTATAAGTATATTTCAATAAACACCCGCGGAATAAGAACCGCACCACAAACGTTTAACCTTACAGCCCACTGAAAAAAGAAAAAAAAAACCAAGAGCAATTTTAGATTAAGTTGCAATTACATAACACTTTTGAAAACAAACCTTGAGAATTATTTGAAATCGGTGAACTCAGAGTTCTGTTGATGGCTTACACTTATTGTATATTAACATGTATACAGTGATTGGTGGATTCAAAACATTTGAAGCTAGTGCATGAGATCCAGGGTAGATAATGAAATTGAAGGCTTTCGATTGGAGTGCTCATTATTTTTTTAATCAATATCACGTGTTCCCTTATTTGAAATTGATAAAGGTCCACGCAAACACCTGGTTTGTAAGTAAATTTCTTTGAGCAAAGTAAGCATTGCAGTTTTTTTGGGTATCTGGTAAATGGAACGAAATCAATCGCCTCATAATACTATATTTGAGACCATGATCTTTAGATAATCAGACAAGTTTTCCTGGGGAAAGATATCTCATAAAGTTACCTTCAACAGACTCCTGCTTGATAGGACTGATTTTGAACTAAAACCGCTTAATTTATTACTTATCCAAAATATATGCGCCCTTTTTCTGATTGGCTTAAAGGCCAACTGGTGCTTACCGTATTTGGAAGATGCGAGCAACATACCATCGATTCGATGGTATACATTTCATTGGAAACGAGGGAAATAGACCATCGATCAACCTCCATTCTTCACTTGAACGAAATTCAATTAAAAGTTTTATATTGAATCTTACCCAATAAAATGTGATGACACTTCAAAGGAGAGTTTGTAAGACATAATAAAGGCGTCTTTTCGAGGAGAATGTTTAACGAGTTGTAGTGCAATTGAACCTTTAATGAAGCACAATAAATCATAGTAAATCTCCATGCTACAAAATTATGCAGGGGACAGTGTTTTAGCATATTTTTGTAGCACTGCATTGAATGGTTTGAACCCAAGAGTCATGTCAAGCAATTTACACTTGGCACTCGTCACACCTTCCTTCTTACAAAAAGGCCCAGGTGATCTGTGACACTGAAACATTACGGGGTCGCATTGCGCAAATCAAAATCTTTGGTCGCCTTCTTGTACAGGAACAACATTGCACTGAACTCCCGTGTCGGGCTGAAAACGAAGATAATTTCCAAATTCCAACTTCAGCGTTACCAGCTGAGAATCATCTAAGGTTACTGCCGAAATTTCTTCCACACCAAAAACTTCATCTGACAGCTCAGACTTGAAACAATGAACAGGACGCGCGCGATACCTGGGCTTAGGCAAGTGTTCAAAACACACATTCGCGAAACGATTTTTCTTGCCACACTTATTGCAGCTCTTCCATAACCCAGACAATTCTCACACTTCACTTAATCATGCTCACGTCCACAAAATTCACAACTATGTTTTTTTTGAGCCACGACTGCGCCTACGTCTCCATCCTTTCGCCCTTCTAGACATCGATCTCTTTCACAATTTGGCATTGGCATTTGGCATTTTACGTAACGCTAATCTTAATAATAAACAGGAATTTATATTTTGATTTTGCACTCGTCACACTTATTGGCAATTTTTACAAAGGAGTGTAATAGATTGTTGATTACCAGCAAAAAATAAACTTGGGTTTGGTCCTTAAAAATACAGTATTTATTTCTAATTGTATTATCATAACCCCAACAAATACCAAATTTATAAACAATTTGGTAATGTAGCTTCTTGTTGTACTTAAATTTACAATCTCAATTACATTAATTGCTTATAAGTAATTTAACTGTAAACCACATATAAGAATCTGCTAGCTTTTGCTTGGCTAAATCATCTTTTGTATTTTTGGCTCTTAATCCACTAAGTTCTTATTCGCCGGTGTATACTGTATTCTTCCAGCTGACCGTAGTCTTTAATAGGACTGTCGTCGACAGTGGCTGATGTTTTGTCAACCTGTGCTGTAGCTATCTTCAGGGTCCAAGAGATCGAGTTTTATCTCGTCAGTTGAGGGTATCAAGGGTCCCGATGTTATTGGACGCCTGTAAGTTAAGCAATGATGCTATTGGCTGTGAAGCGATGCATTAGTAGTATAGTAGGGATGTTTTCGCCTTTGTTTGTAAGGTTCGATGTAATGCTTGTGTGACATATTTGGTGACACATAGCTGTGATTTTGTCATTCATAAGTAATTTCTAACATTCCATAGGGAATTTGCGTGGTGGCGTCATGTTACCACTGAAAAAGTATATTATTAACAGCAGTAACCGTTTCTCGTTATCTTATAAATAAATTTTGTTTTCTCAACAATTCAGTCATTTCGCTCTTCCCCAAATTTTTCCATCTTACTTCCACTACTACCACAACCACCAACAGCCCCACCACTACCACCACGACATTTCTATTGTTTTCTTTTCGCCATTACCACTACCAACACCCCCGACCACCACCACATTTGTATTGTCTTCTCGCCACCACTACCACCACTCCACCACCACCTCCTCATTTTTACTGTTTTCATTTCACCATGCACTAACCGACCTTCTCACCACCACCAAACTTTTTTATTTTCCCTCCACCACTTCCACCACCACCACCACATTTCTATTGTTTTTGCCTCCAGAACCACTACTACATTTCTACTATTTTTCATTTGTGTTTTTGGATCGATTTAAGGTCCCTGTAAACAATTTTTTCAAAGCAGTATTTAATTTCAAGAAAATGTTAGAAATAACAGAGTAAGAAATGTAGGACTGTTAAGTAAGTCAATCTGCATGAGCTTAATTAACTTTTTTTTATGAAATTATGAATGTATCATCAACTGCAGGCTACAAAGACAAAAGGACAAAAGTGTTCAGACACTTCTTTAAAAATAAATGGCCCCTTTTTGAACGGTGCACAATGAACCCTTTTTAAACGTGTTGTGCGCCAATCCAATCTTGGTCGCTGAGACATTTTTTGATGTCCAGTATGGAACCTTCAAGTTATTTATAAGTTCTTGCAAAATAGTGGCATTCTTAAACTATATTTTATTATTGGACTAATAAGAGAATTGATTAGGTGAAACGTACAAAAAATCTAATTCACAATTAAAGCCACTACCTGAGACTGACCAGTTACACAATGCCATGCTTGGAGCCCAAAGTGTCACAGATGCACATATTACAATGAAAAGGGTCTTTATGAGTTTTGTGTTTTCTTCTACGCTTTTTTGATGGTTTCCCGTGTCTAAAGCAGCATTTCTATTGCAAGAGCGTTTTCGGATCGAAAGATACAAAAAGTAAATCAAGAGTAAAGACGGAGCAATGAGGACAGAGTAGGCGACAATGTTATATTTCAAGTCGAAGATCTCGTATATCGGTAGTAATTTCAGAGCACCCAGAGCGATTCCAACCAACCAAACCAATGTGGCGATAAATCCAGGAAGAAAAGAAAAAAAAAACAGTGAAAGCATTTGCAGTAAATATGAGCAATAAGACACTGAAGAATGACGCTTAAAATCGCCTTACTAATCGTATCAGCCTGATAATACATTAAAAATAAGTTTGAGGTGTTTTACATGCAGAGAAAAGATCGAACTTTGCAGACCCTCCAGACAACTAGAGTATCTGCTGAGTTGTTAACTGGTTTTAGCTGAGCCGCGTTTTCAGAAGCTAATAGCGATCCCCTGATTAAAGGAATAAAAAGTATACGGACTGGGCCTACGGCTACATGTAGTAATTGCCTCAGTCTTATTAGCCGAGTTTTCTGTCTATACCGTAAATTACGGACCGAGTTTTTGTCCCATCGATTTATGGCCAAGCGCGAAGCGCGCGGACCATAAATCGATGGAAAAAAACGAGGATCCGTAATTTACAGTACGGACCGAAAAAACGAGGCTAATAAGACGTTTATTATATGGCTTCTTCCTGCTTTAGGGAACGGAAATAAGCGCAGGACGCACAACTTGACAGTCATTTGACAGGTGTCAAAAAAGACAGTTTTTATTGGCGCACGAAAACAATAGGACATAACAAAGGCTTTCCGAGAAAGTAAAAACAAATTCGCCATGTTGAAAAAGTTTATTCGGTCAAAACTAAGAGCACTGTAAGTACTCACTCGTTAATGTGACGCTGGAGTCTTTTGAAAACTGAACATTGTGTCTGGCTCGAACTCGCTTCTATCTTTCTTTTGTTGGTCTTTAAAAGAACACTGCAAATGGCAAAGAAGCTTGTTAAGATGATCGGGTGCAGGTATGTTTGTTATCATATTTGTCGAAGAAATTACACATTTTCTCTTGGGCAAAACATCTGGAATCTCTGCCAGTCGATTTTCGTCTTCTTAACTGTGTGCTACGATAAAATTTTCAAACACTGACTAGAGTCCTCTTCGATAAGTTTACGAGTCAGTTTCTTCATCGCCTTCGTCCATAAATAAACACAGTTTAAAATGTTGAAGACCACAAGACTTCTGAGCTAGCTGTTCTGACCGATCGCAGCTCTCCTCACCGGCATTTTCGAGCATTTTCGTTGAAGGCCAAAGTCAACATCCAAGTCCTAAAGGTTGACAGGCGTCTTATAACTTTATTTGAACCTTTTTTGCGAGGTAAAGAGATTTAGAGCTCCGAAATGAGCATTTTCTTTAAAAATTTTGGTCTGTATATCAAGTTATGGACCGCAAAAATGACCAATCGCATGGCGAAAACAGACTCAGCCATAAAATCATATCTATGATAAATAGAAGACAAATTATTAATTTAACAGTGCTATGAATTGAGCCAAAAGAAAGGTAATAGATTAGGTCTTGGCTTTAATTAAGAATGATGAAAGCACGCAATGTGTTTACAAGAATCGCGCACAGATGACTGTGTTGAAAGTATATTGAAACTTTGAAGTGTTAAGAAAAGTTAATTACGTTTATGTTAATTACACATATCTTGTTACGAATGAAGGGGCTGAAATGTTGAGAGTAGCGTCTGTCCTTCTTTGTTAAAAAAGGAAAAATTAAGGAAAAATTAGGCGTTCAAATCTTTGCTTGTAGATTTAGCTTAGGCTCTATAAAAATATCCTCAATTAACTATGTATTTTTTCCGCTGCTTTCGAATTTTTACAAGTCTAAATCGTCTAAGACTTTGTCTGAACATTGGCATTCTCAGACTGTAAATCAATGGATTTACGACGGAATTGCACATATGAATCATGGTTAACAAATATTTCACAAATTCAGGAAACATTCCTGGAGCGAACCTAAGACAAGAAAATAAAACAAGGCTTGGAACCCAAAAGGCAGCAGATGCTCCTGTCATAAGGAACAAAGTTTTGGAAAGTTTCCTTGTGTTTTGCTCAACCATTTTGCGCTGATGTGTTGTACCGATTGTAGGGTCACTGCGTTTAAGTTTTTTCGGATTGCTAGGTATGATGTGCACATCGTTGCCAGTGATAAGACGATTACGATTGAAAATGTGAGGATATAGTGAGAAATCTCAAATATTCCGTAGCTAACCAGCCAGGTTAATGAACCCAAAGAAACACCTGCTAACCAAGCGGCGAGGACACCGTAGATGAACGTCTTCGTGCTTGTTGTTCGATGAAGAAGCGGCCAAATCAAAGCAAATGCACGTTCCAGAGAAATAAGAACCGGAAAGAACATCGATGTACTTAAAAATGTAACTTAAAATTGGATTACAAGATAGTCATAAGTCGTGAAATTAAGTTTAGATTTTCTAATGTAACTAGGAAGTGATAGCACCGTCAAATGTGGTGTCATGTATGCCAATCCAACGAGAAGATCGGCTACGGCCAAATTGATAAGAAGTAAGTAAGTTCGTCTTAGTTTGTTTCGGTGAATCCAAAACACAGCTATGGTGAGAAAATTAGCAGCGAATACGATGAGAGATTGAAGAGTGGAAACACAAAGGGAAGCAATAGTTGCTATTTGGTCTGACATTAGTATACTCTTACTGTAGATTGAAGCCTTCTTTAACTTAGTGACGTTTTAGCTCCGTGCACTGTTTAAGGGCACCCGGATTGCGAGAATCGAGCGAGAAGATTCTTATACGAAAGCCTGTGCTGTGATACAGATTGGTGGCACTAATACATCCACGATTGATGGTTTTCTGTCGTTAAATACCAAAATAACAGACAAGTAAAAATCTTCCAATATTTTATCTTAAATCCTGATTTCTGATTGGCTGAAGCTCTCCCCATCACAGACAGTCATCCGCGACATACAGTTTCTTACAGGGCATAACCCTTTTCCTTGCATCGTCCTAATAAGCCAAAGGTCTAATGGAAACTTAAGTCCACTTGTATATGTAATTACATTATTTTCATCTTTATTACTATTTATGAATCTTTTTTATTCTTCGTAATCACAATTTGTGAACTTTTACTGAACGTTCAATTGTTGAATTTTGGATCTTCGAATCTTTTTTGTAAGAATGTATTTTCTATGAAATGGATATTATATCTGAGGTAGTTATAGTTTTAACTTTGGTACCGTTTAGGTTTTAAGGTAGGTTTGCCATATATCACGTGATTGTAAGCTCTTAGGTGTTACGTGTCTAAATAAACTACTTACCTACTTAGTTACTACTTACTATATATCCTTGGCATCAATGCAGTGCCTTAAAACACCTCAAGACTTCTGAGGTAGCTGTTCTGACCGATCGCAGCTCTCCTCACCGGCATTTTCGAGCGAAATCTTTCTTCCATTACACCGCCTGTTTGCCGATCACCCCAGTAAAATTTCACATCTTGGACGATCCTGGAACCTTAACCACCCTCCTAGTCCCACCATGACTCCAACGGAATTACTAAACCTTTCAACCAAGTAGGAAAGATGACAAAACAGACACGGAATTTCCTGTAAGCCATTTGGAAATTCAATAGTGTTCATTCTCCATCGTATGTTATCTGTGGAAGTAAAGTGAATGAGCCACTAGCAAAGGGTACAATAACACCCAGGAAAAATAACAGGTTTTAATTTTTTAAAGGCTTGTTTATTATTATTTACAAATAGAATTCGTAGGATCATTATTTATCTAGTTACAAGTGGCAACTATGGAAAATTCAAAACCAGTTTTGTGATGAGGATGTGGGGCTTTTTACAGAAACTTGTCTCGGTAACTTAACATTTATTCAACTAATTAATTTGACTTGTTGATAAGCGAATTAGATTTTCTCCCTAATCGTGTAACTTTTTGGTGGCCTGGAAATCCTCAACTTATTTGCGAGCTGCTTTAAAGTCTTCTTAAACATCGCTATTCTAAAGCTGTAAATTATTGGGTTCACGAGAGAATTTGTAGCATGTAGGAAATTGGTAAGGTAATTCATAAACCCAGGAAGCAAACCGAGCCACAAGTTACTGATGTTGTACAATGTCATGCTTGGAGCCCACAAAGTAACAGATGCGCCTATCACAATAAAGAGAGTCTTGGAGAATTTTGCGTTTTGTTCCACACGCTTTCTACAGTCTGCTTCATCGATAGCAGGATTTCTGTTGCAAAGTCTTTTACGGATTAAGAGATACGACGAGCAAATTTTAAATAAAGATAAAAAAAAGATGATAGAGTAGGCGAATAAATAATGTCGAACGTCTATGATACCATTCGTGGTTAACAAATTAAGTGCACCTAGACTCAGTCCAGCTAACCGTGTAATAGCCACGCTGTAGATATAAACCTTGGTGCTTGTTACTCGATGTCGAAGCGGCCAAATCAAGGCGAAGGCTCTCTCCAGTGAAACGAGTACAAGAAAAAACACAGATGCACCAGAAGCCATTGCTGGAAAGGATCCTGGAATTCCCTCCATAAACTTACTGCCATTCAGTTTACGTCCGGCGATGACTGTTTGTACAAGTCCCACAAAAAGGTCAGCAACAGTCAAGTTAAAAACAATAAGGAATGTTGGCTTCAGTTTGTGGCGATGAATCCAGAAAACAAATACAGTAAAAGTATTAGCGATAATAATGAAAACAGACAGTACAAGAAGAACGACCACTATCGACATCGGAGTCGCATCAGACATAGCGACAAAGATAATATTAATTTTGTTGTGGTAGACAGTATAGAGGTTAAAGGATTCCAGCTTGCCTTACACACTGTTATGAGCACAAGTATCTTTATAAACGCTAGGTCCTTGTGAGTTTCAAGACGTTTGCGTTCTGTAATTAAATTAATGCGGAGTAGTCGTTGTATTACATGACTGTATTACGTTTTTGTATCGACAGCGCACCTGACCATCCAAAGGGAAGTTAAAAAATAGAGCTTTGTGCCTCCCAAGGCCGATATGTAATTATTTCACAGATAAACCATTCAGTTGAAAATAGAATTTTAATAAAAACTACAAAATTAAACTAACCCTGTGGCTGCGTATTGAACGAAAGACAGTAGATTGTCTATAGTTATTAATTACGGTCGCCAAAGCACCAATGCGCACCAATGCGCACCAATGGTAGATGGGTATGGTCCAATTAAAAAGTAGAAAGTTCATTTTAGTTTTCTTAACACAACTTTGTATTGCATGGAGAGAATTTGCAGCGAATATGATTACTGTGATAATATACCGGATCGAGGGAGGACATCCATAGTGCTGCAACAACAGTTTGTTTTGTTTGACTATTCCTATAATTAACGATGCTGTGGATAGTAATATTCGTCAATTTGAACCTATAGTAAGTGGTTTTTGATGTACAGTGTAGTGGGGTGAGTTATCGAGTATTTATTAATTAAAAAAGCGGATTGATGAATCCAAGAGTGATTAACGTATATTTGATTTCATAACGTCTTTGAACTTTCAGTATATCTTTCAAGGAACATGCAGCACCTTCTAAAAAATAGATTTTAAAGGCTTAGAGAGTAGCCGCACAAGACACATTTTCTGAGTGTTTTGTTGGAAATACCGTATTGCGATTCGGGCAGCGCTTAAAGTCAGGTCGAATTCGACAAGTTATGTCGTGTTTCATACCAATATAAACTTGCTGCAAATCATCAGAATATTTTCCTAAATTTGCAAGAAATTGAAGATTAGAAGATTTTTTACTGACTTGATCAACTAGAATACAGGCTGTTGAGGCGTAAAAGCTCCCTTTTAAACGTGTCGAACATTTTAACTAACTGTATAACTCTCTGATCGCTTGACAACTTTAAGCTTATTTCTCACTTGTTGTATGGTTTTTTTGAATACTGGTATTCTTAAGCTATAAATAATTGGATTGACAAGGGAATTGGTGATGTGTAGCATTGTGAAAATGTGAATAACAAAATGAGGAAACAGACGTGGAAACCAAACACTGATATTGTACCATGTCAGGCTAGGAACCCATAAAGCAAGAGATGCTCCTATCACGATAAAAAGAGTCTTGGAGAGTTTTGTATTTTGTTCAACACTTATTCTGCTATGCTCTGTGTTGATAGCAGGAGTTCTGTTGTTAATTTTTTTCCTGATGGACAGGTAAGACACACAAATCGTAATCAAGGAGAAACCGATGATGACCGCCGCACCAACCGCGAAATACGTTAAATTTTAGATTCCAAGGAAAGCAATAAAACTGCTTAGACCCATAGCTATCCCAGCTAACCATACGATAACTACACTGTAAATGTAAACCTTGGTGCTTGTTACACGATGACGAAGCGGCCAGATCAAGGCGAAGGCTCGTTCCAGAGAAATCAGAACGAGAAAAAATACAGATGCGGACGAGGATAAGACTTGAAAAGAAGGTGGAACGCTTTCATTGACTTCTTGGATTGTTTTGTTTGAGTCGATTTGTCCTGCTAAAGTCCATCCACCAGCGACCTCTATTATTTCTGTGAGGCCAGCAAAAAGGTCCACCACAGCCAGGTTGATAACGAGAAAGCTTGTTCGCGTTAGTTTCTTTCGATGAATCCAGAAAACAAACACAGTGAAAGTGTTAAAAATAAAAACAAAGATGGATAGAAGAACAAGAAGGCACAAAACTGCAATGGCTGCCGTATCATTTGTCATAACGACAGAGATAAATTAGTTTCTTTTTTCGGAGAAGAATAATCCGTATAAGATCCTACCGGTGAGATAACGTTACCTGAACTACCTTGGCGTGAAAAGGTTGTCAGTCATATCAACACAATGTACCAAAAGAGCTTCAATAGAATAACGTATTAAACACCGCAAGTCTATTTAATTTGAGAGACTGATTCACAGATGAAGAAGATGATGATGCAGAACTGATGACCTTTATTTTGACACAAATGATAAAAGGTGAGTGTAAATTAAGGAAATCTAGTTATTTATAGAAGAAAGGAAGCAAAAAGTAAAACAGATTACATTAGATATGTACAATGTTTACAGTACCAAACGATCAAATGTAAGTAAATTATCGTTTCAATATTGGACAGGTGAAGCTAAAATAAGGTTGAAATAATAAATTATTAAGACGGAATCTATCAGGAAATTGAGTAATTATAATTTTCAGTAGACAAAAATTTTGTACAAGAATAATTAGAACAATATCGCATTCTTGTTTACACTCTTCAAGGGTTACAGAATGTAATTAGTTATCTGTAATAGCACCAAAGAAAATTTCCTATATGGGAGCCCGAGAAAAGGAATGTCAGACTCCACAAAATGACGTCTTGCACATGAAATTTTCAGAATTTTACCTGTGTTTTAACAATTCATGTGAAATTTGACATTTATTTTCTAGCGCTCCCATTAGAAATGGTCGGTGTCATTATAGATAATAAATTAGACCTATAGCCATTGAAAAAGGTAAAAAAGAATGCGATATTGTTCAAATTATTCTGGTACAAGGTTTTTGTGCACTCAAAGTTGAAATTACTCAATTTCCTGATGGATTCCGTCTTAACATGTGAATCCAGTTTCTAAAGATTCCATTAAATTTGCGTGGAACACCACAAAATTCTTGTCTTTAAAAGAAGTCAAAGAACAGATGTACTATTTAACACGAAAAAAAAGAGGAAGAAGAAGAACAATAATGAGATGATTACTGACTAATCATAGTAAAACACAAAATAACAAGGGAGAATTTTAACTGTTTTTCTTTACAGTTTTTGATAAATATGGGCTAACATTCTATTATCCTACATCAACAAATCCCAGGTTTTATCAATGGATGGTTTACATAAAATATTTCTTTAGTCATTTATAAGAAGAGGAAAATAATTTTCTCTTTTGCTCAACCTAGCCTAAGTTGATAGTAAGAAAATGAAATTACAAAAGGTTGAGTTTGATCGTCCGGGTGAATGTAGTCCTGAATAGGACTGTTGAAATTACAGAGAAATATTACAAACGCACCGCTCTGGTTTTTTCTTAAATAATCTAAGCTCATCAATTCTGACTGGCTTAGGGTTTCCCGATTGGACTTTTCATGGCTGCCAAGTAAGATATCTCGGTCGTACCCAGTTCAAATCCTCGGTCACACTTGTAAATAGCCAATTGGTGCAGCCTCCCGCCAGTGGGGCTTTTTAATAGAGAGCTTTAGATTCTAAGACGAGTACGACCACGAATACGAGATTTTCGCGATACTAAGTAGTCAGTACGCGCGTGAACCAGCGTCATTTTGGCCGGAAAACGTGATAACCGTCGTCATTCTACTAAGAGTTTTCGCGCAAATGTCGAGGTGGCGAAAACAAGTTATCAAATTTAAAAGTTGTATCATTTTGCGATCGAGAGAGCGCGTAACCTGCTTCACTAAAAATAACAATGCTAATTTTTCTAGTGAAAAATGGTAAAATGAAGCTTTCCAGGAAGTCTACATTTTGAGAAGACACGAAAAAACTTTAAGTACAATCTCGTACTCGAAGCCGTCCTCGTCCTCGAATCTAAAGGTCTCTATTCCTGCTATGTTCTATTTGCATCATTTGTTTCAGAATTATTTGAGTGGAGTGCCTGTAAACTAGCTGGACAAACGAAGTGCACTTTCTACTATAAACAAACCTTTAATATATTTTTTAAATCTAATCCTCTGGCTCTTACTAATTAATTTACTGTGTACCTTTTCGCTCGCTTGACAAGTTTTAGCTTGTCTCGCAATTGTTCATAGCTTCTCCTGAATATTGGCATTTTAAAACTATAAATGACTGGATTAACAAGAGAATTAGTCAAATGTACCATTGTGGAAAGGTGAGCAACAAAATGAGGAAACAGGCTTGGAAACCATAGACTGATATTGTACCATGTAACGCTAGGAACCCACAAAGCAGCAGATGCACCGATCATGATAAAAAGAGTCTTGGAGAGTTTTGTATTTTGTTCGATGCTTATTCTGCTATGCTCTGTGTCGATAGCAGGAGTTCTGTTGCTGATTTTTTTCCTGATGGACAGGTAAGACACACAAATCGTAATCAAGGAGAAACCAATGATGATTGTAGCAGCAACTGCAAAATACTTCACTTGGTATTTTCTAACTACAGCAAGGAAACTGAATACACCTATAGTTATCCCAGCTAGCCACGCTATAACAACGCTATAGGTGTAGACCTTTCTGCTTGTTACACGATGTCGAAGCGGCCAAATCAAAGCAAAAGCTCGTTCCAGGGAAATCAGCACGAGAAAAAACACAGATGCACACGAGAAAGAGGCTACAAAAGGGGCTACAATGCTACCTTTCATCTCGGTAATAGTTTCGTTTGAGCCGATATGTCTTGGAAGAGCAAATGCTCCGACCTCTACAGTATCTGTGAGTCCAACAAGGAGATCTGCCACAGCCAAGTTAATAACAAGAAAGCTTGTTCGTTTCAGTTTACTTTGATGGACCCAGAAAACAAACACGGTGAAAGCGTTAGAAATACAAACGATGATAGACAGAAAAGCGAGAAGGATTAAGACTGCAATGGAAGCAGTATCAACAGACATTTCGATATACAAACTTCCAGACCTTCTGGAGAATATTCTGTATATAGCCCAGTAGTGTTGTCTGATTTTATAGTTTTTGGTGATCGCTTTCCTTGCAGTGCCCTGCTACCTGGGGTGAAGTAGTTCCTTATATAAGTACAGCTTCACCCAAAAAGAGTTTCAACGAGCACAGGAAAAGTATTATTTAACAACCACTCAGTTATATATGAAAGACTGAATGACATATCTCAAAGCAAGACAAAAGCCAAAGGGATAATTTGAACGCATTTTGCAATGCCTAAACGCGTTTTCAATGTTTGAAAAATCTAGCATGGCTTTTAAGGTTTACAATCAATATGCGAAGTAACATAATTTCTACTGAAATTAAAAGTTGTGAAACCATGTAATTATAAATATGAAATAAAAAAACAGAGACAACTAAAAATTTAAACGGCGAAGCCAAAGGGTCATGTAGCAGCTGCTCTCAAGAGAAGTCACCAAGGGTGCCTAACCCCAGCCCCAAACAATACTAAAACAATTGAAAGAATGTCATTTTTTCTGCGAGCAATTAGGAGAGACCTTCTAAGCAGCTCCTACACTACCCAAGCCCAATTTTGAAATGAAATTTGAAAAAAAAGATTTCTTTAATTAAATGTGTGTTGACACAATTGTGTTACTACATCACCCTTATTTTTTTCTTTTTTTTTAACCAACGTACCTATAGTTTCCAAGAGAAATCCACCTTTGAACATAAAAGAAAAAATCTGCCCATAAAATGATAAATCATGTTAAAATGATATGGAAAATAGTGAACTTTTATTTTCCTAAAAAAAGGGTATTTTCTGCTCATTAATCGATTCAAAAGTTTTCATGACTGATATGAAATTGACTTGCTGCTAGGGGATAATTGAACTTCATTGTATTTAAGATGAAATCCATTAGGAAATTGTCAAATGAGTAGTTTTAATTTTCCGTTGTCAAAAACCTTGTACCAGAATAATCTCAAGCATATTGCTTTCTTTTTCACACTTTTCAAGGGCTATTAATGTAGTTATAAGTTGTATAATAAAACTCCAAAGAAGAGGTTCTTTATATTGGAGCCCGAGAAAACGTAAAACAAACTTCAAAAGCCTCACATTTTACAAAATGAGGTGTTAGCAATGACGAATTTACCTGTACGGTGTTTTCTCAATTACTATGAAATTTGAAATTCATTTTCTCAAGCTCCCGTTAGAAATTCTCTTTGGTGTTTTTACAGATAACTAATTACATCTATAGCCCTTGACAAGTGTAAAAAAGAATTTGATATGGCTTATTTTTCTTTTTTCTGGTGCAAAGCTTTTGTCCACTGAAAATTAATATAACATAATTTCCTTTTGGATTTCTGCTTAATATCTTCTCTGTATTTTTGAACCCGTGTTGATAATATATTTTGCCATGACATATCCGCAACTTTTATTTATTTTAGGTTTTAACAATCGTTTGTTCACATAATACTTCCTTAATTTTTAATAGAAAAGAGGAATTTTTTAAAACTTTTTCCCGCTTTCTGGATAAAACGCTTACTTTAAAACTACATTGTAAAAAGAGCGTGGACAGATGAGTAAGGGTGAGACGAGAAATTAAAAAGCGATTTTGTTTTATTGCGCATCATTCGTGGTTATTTTGTTAAACGCTATTAATATAAGTAGATATTTCCCTTTTAATTTCGTTCAAACGATGTTAGCCTTTTACTTCGGCTTGAATCCTACTTCTATTATTTTTCAAAAAGGTATGAGTCAATCTCTCATCCCCAAAATAATATTAAAATATTGTGAAGTCTAAATGCGGCCGCGGCACTGCCGATCAAAATGTTGACAGTCAAATTTTAGACAAAAATCTCAAGCGGTTCATAAAGAGAAAAGAAAACATTGGGACTTAAAAAATTCGAGAAAACTTAAAAGATGCTTTAAGCATCATCTCCTGCTTTTATATTACAAATGAAATGAAGAAAATCCTGTCGCCATCATTTTACGCCGAACTTTTCATGAGCCCAAAGCTAACTCGAAATAAGGCCGACTCAAATTATTTGGATCAGCTGAATTGATTCAGGCGCCGATCTTAATTACAGCTGAACTAGCTTTATAGTGAGTTCAGCAAAAGCAAAACTACAGTGTACAAAATACGATGTAATAATTTATGCATCAGGTTTGGTACATGAAACGTTCTGCTTTCTGAATCAAAGCCATTCCAAAGTCGCTCCAAAGGCGAAATTCCTGGCCGGGCAAGGCGAAAAGAACGGCTGAACCGTGTGAAATTGAAATAGGTGTTCCTATTATTCAGACGCCGAAACTTGTCATGTACTTACTTATTAGGTTCGGATAGGATAGGTTCGGTTCCTGAAAAGTTCGACCTGAACCCGGGGCCCAGATTTCATTTTTCGAGTGTCGAGCTCAGATTACAAAGCTTGGTCACTATAATGTATATTTCTTTTATGTTACGTAGGCTTTATAAAAATATCCTCAATTAACTATGTATTTTTTCCGCTGCTTTCGAAAATTTACAAGTCTAAATCGTCTAAGACTTTGTCTGAACATTGGCATTCTCAGACTGTAAATCACTGGATTTACGACGGAATTGCATATATGAATTATGATTAACAAATATTTCACAAATTTAGGAAACATTCCTGGAGCGAAATTAAGACAAGAAAATAAAACAAGGCTTGGAACCCAAAAGGCAGCAGATGCTCCTGTCATAAGGAACAAAGTTTTGGAAAGTTTCCTTGTGTTTTGCTCAACCATTTTGCGCTGATGTGTTGCACCGATTGTGGGGTCTTTGCGTTTAAGTTTTTTTCGGATTGCTAGTTATGATGTGCACATCGTTGCCAGTGATAAGACGATTACGATTGAAAATGTGAGGATATAGTGAGAAATCTCAAATATTCCGTAGCTAACCAGCCAGGTTAATGAACCCAAAGAAACACTTGCTAACCAAGCGGCGACGACACCGTAGATGAACATCTTCGTGCTTGTTGTTCGATGAAGAAGCGGCCAAATCAAAGCAGATGCACGTTCCAGAGAAATAAGAACCAGAAAGAACATCGATGTACTTAAAAATGTAACATGAAATTGGATTACAAGATAGTCATAAGTCGTGACATTAAGTTTAGATTTTCTAATGTAACTAGGAAGTGCTAACACCGTCAAATGTGGTGTCACGTATGTGAATCCAACGAGAAGATCGGCCACGGCCAAATTGATAAGAAGTAAGTAAGTTCGTCTAAGTTTGTTTCGGTGAATCCAAAACACAGCTATGGTGAGAAAATTAGCAGCGAATACGATGAGAGATTGAAGAGTGGAAACACAAAGGGGAGCAATGGTTGCTGTTTGGTCTGACATTAGTATACTCTTACTGTAGATTGAAGCCTTCGTTAACTTAGTGACGTTTTAGCTCCGTGCACTGTTTAACCGCACCCTGATTGCGAGAATCGAGCGACAAGATTTATTGTTATGCGAAAGCCTGTGCTGTGATACAGATTGGTGGCACTAATACATCCACGATTGATGGTTTTCTGTCGTTAAATACCAAAATAACTGACAAGTAAAAATCTTGGAATATTTTGTCTTAAATTCTGATTTCTGATTGGCTGAAGCTCTCGCGATCACAGACAGTCATCCGGGACATACAGTTTCTTACAGGGCATAACCCTTTTCCCAGCATCGTCCTAATAAGGCAAAGGTCTAATGGAAACTTAAGTCGACTTGTATATGTAATTACGTTATTTTTATGTCTATTACTATTTATGAATCTTTTTTATTCTTCGTAATCACAATTTGTGCGCTTTTACTGAACATTCAGTTGTTGAATTTTCTATATTTTAATCTTTTTTGTACGAATGTATTTTTTTATGAAATCGATATTATATATGAAGTAGTTATAGTTTTAACTTGAGTACCGTTTAGCTTTTTAAGGTAGGTTTGCCGTATATCACGTGATTGTAAGCTCTTAGGTGTTACCTGTCTAAATAAACTACTTACCTACTTACTTACTACTTACTATGTATCCTTGGCATCAATGCAGTGTCTTAAAACACAACAAGACTTCTGAGCTATCTGTTCTGACCGATCGCAGCTCTCCTCACCGGCATTTTCGAGCGAAATCTTTCTTCCATTACACCACTTGTTTTCCGATCACCCAGTAAAAATTCACATCTTGGACGATCCTGGAACCTTAACCACCCTCTAATTACTAAACCCTTCAACCAAGTAGGAAAGATGACAAAACAGACACGGAATCCCCTGTATGCCATTTGGAAATTCAATAAATTCAATAGTGTTCATTCACCATCGTATGTTATCTGTGGAAATAAAGTGAACGAGCCACTGGCAAAGGGTACAATAACACCCAGGAAAAATAGCAGGTTTTAATTTTTTAAAGGCTTGTTTATTATTATTTACAAATAGAATTCGTAGGATCATTATTTATCTAGTTACAACTGGCAACTATGGAAAATTCAAAACCAGTTTTGTGATGAGGATGTGGAGCTTTTTAGAGAAACTTGTCTCGGTAACTTAACATTTATTCAACTAATTAATTTGACTAAGCGAATTAGATTTTCTCCCTAATCGTGTAACTTTTTGATGGCATGCAAATCCTCAACTTATTTGCGAGTTGCGTTAAAGTCTTCTTGAACACTGCTATTCTAAAGCTGTAAATTATTCGGTTCACGAGAGAATTTGTAACATGTAGGAAATTGGTAAGGTAATCCATAAACCCAGGAAGCAAACCGAGCCACAAGTTATTGATGTTGTACAATGTCATGCTTGGAGCCCACAAAGTAACAGATGCGCCTATCACAATAAAGAAAGTCTTGGAGTATTTTGCACTTTGTTCCACAAGCTTTCTACAGTCTGCTTTATCGATAGCAGGATTTCTGTCGTAAAGTCTTTTACGGATTAAGAGATACGACGAGCAAATTACAAATAAAGATAAAAAAGTGATGATAGAGTAGGCGAATAAATATTGTCGAACGTCTATGACACCATTCGTGGTTGAGAAATTAAGTGCACCTAGACTCAATCCAGCTAACCATATAATAGCCACGCAGTAGAAATAAACCTTGGTGCTTGTTAGTCCATGTCGAAGCGGCCAAATCAAGGCGAAGGCTCTCTCCAGTGAAACGAGTACAAGAAAAAAACTAACCCTATGGCTGCGTATTGAACGAAAGACAGTAGATTGTCTATAGATATTAATTACGGTCGCCAAAGCAAGCAGGGCAACAAGTGATAATGCCACTTTTCAGTCACCAATGAGTTATAGATGGGTATGGTCCAATTAAAAGTAGTCAGAAGTTCATTTTAGTTTGCTTAACACAACTTTATATTGCATGGAGAGAATTTGCAGCGAATATGATTACTATAATAATGTACAGGGTCGAGGGAGGACATCCATAGTGCTGCAATAACAGAGTGTTTTGTTTGACTATATTCCTATAACTATGCTGTGGATAGTAACATTCGTCAATTTGAATCTAATGTAAGTGATTTTCGATGTACAGTTCAGTGGGTGAGTTATCGAATATTTATTAAAGCGGATTGCTGAATCCACTTGTGATTAATATATATTTGATTTCATAATGTCTTTGAACATTCAGTATATCTTTTACGGTACATGCGGCATATTCTAAAAAAATTTAAATGATGAGAGAGTAGCCGCACAAGACACATTTCAGAGTATTTTGTTGGAAATACCATATTGTGCCCTCGGGCTGGCGCTAAATGTCAGCTCGAAGTCCACAAATGTGTTTCATACCAATATAAACTTGCTGCAAATCGGCAGGGTGTTTTTTCTAAATTTGCATGAAATTGAGGATTAGAAGATTTTTTACTGAGACTTGATCAACTAAAATACAGGTTGTTGAGGTGTAAAAGGTAAAAGCTCCCTGTTAAAACGTGTCGCACATTTCAACTAAATGTATAACTCTTTGATCGCTTAACAACTTTAAGCTTATTTCTCAGTTGTTGTATGGTTTTTTTGAATACTGGTATTCTTAAGCTATAAATTATTGGATTGACAAGGGAATTGGTGATATGTGGCATTGCAAAAATGTGAATCACAAAATGAGGAAACAGACGTGGATACCAAACACTGATATTGTACCATGTCAGGCTAGGAACCCATAAAGCAACAGATGCTCCTATCACGATGAAAAGAGTCTTAGAGAGTTTTGTATTTTGTTCAACACTTATTCTGTTATGCTCTGTGTCGATAGCAGGAGTTCTGCTGTTAATCCGTTTCCTGATGGACAGGTAAGACACACAAATCGTAATCAAGGAGAAACCGATGATGACCGCCGCACCAACCGCAAAATACGTTAAATTATAGATTCCAAGGAAAGAAATAAAACTGCTTACACCCATAGCTATCCCAGCTAACCATGCGATAACCACACTGTAAATGTAAACCTTGGTGCTTGTTACACGATGACGAAGCGGCCAGATCAAGGCAAAGGCTCGTTCCAGAGAAATCAGAACGAGAAAAAATACAGATGCGGACGAGGATAAGATTTGAAAAGAAGGTGGAACGCTTTCATTGACTTCTTGGATTGTTTTGTTTGAGTCGATGTGTCCTGCTAAAGTCCATCCACCAGCGACCTCTATTATTTCGGTGAGTCCAGCAAAGAGGTCCGCCACAGCCAGGTTGATAACGAGAAAGCTTGTTCGCGATAGTTTCTTTCGATGAATCCAGAAAACAAGCACAGTGAAAGTGTTAGAAATGAAAACAACGACGGACAGAAGAACAAGAAGGCACAAAACTGCAATGGCTGCCGTATCGTTTGTCATAACGACCGAGATAAAGTGAAACGGTTTTTTTTTTCGGAGAAGAATAATCCGTACGAGAGCCTACCGATAACGTTACCTGAACTACCTTGGCGTGAAAAGGTTCTTAGTCATATCAACACAGTTGTACCAAAAGAGCTTCAAGAATGATAATGAATTATTGAACACCAAGTCAATTTAATTTGAGAGACTGATTCACACATCTCACTTGAAGACAAAAGGTAGAAGAAGAAGATGATGATGAAGAACTGAAGGTTTTTATTTTGACACGAATGATAAAAGCTAACAAGCCTTTGGGGTTGAGTTTAAATTAAGGTAATCTATTATCTATAGAAGAAAATAAACAAAAAATAGAACAACTAATTAACATCAGATATGTACAATTTTTACAGTACGAAAAGATCAAATGTAAGTAAATCATTATTTCAATACTGGACAGGTGAAGCTAAAATAAGGTTGAAATAATAAATTATTAAGAAGGAATACATCAGAAAATTGAGTAATTTTAATTTTCAGTGGACAAAAACCTTGTACCAGAATAATTAAAACGATATCGCATTATTGTTTACACTTTTTCAAGGGCTACAGAATGTAATTAGGTAACTGTAATAACACCAAAGAAAATTTCCTATGGGGGCCCGAGAAAATTTAACGAATGTCAGATTTCCCAAAATGACATCTTACATGAAATTTTCAGAATTTTGCCTTTCTTTTTTACAATTCTTGTGAAATTTGACATTTATTTTCTCGGGCTCCCATTATAGAAATAGTCGGTGTCATTATAGATAAGAATTATATCTATATCCCTTGAAAGAAGTAAAAAAGAATGCGATATTGTTTAAATTATTCTGGTACTAGGTTTTTGTCCACTCAAAGTTGAAATTACTTAATTTCCTGTTGATTCCGTCTTAACATGTGAATCCAGTTTTAAATGTGCCTGGACCACCGCCAAATTGTTGTCTTTAAAAGAAGTCAAAGAAGAGATGTACTATTTAACACGAAAAAAAAAGGTAGAAGAGGGAAAAAAAAAGCAGTACGAAGAACAAGAACAATAAGTTACTGACTAATCATAATAAAACACAAAATAATAATTAGGGAAAATTTGAACTGTTTTTCTTTTCTGTTTTTATAAATATGGGCTAACATTCTACCATCCTACATCGACAAATCCCAGGTTTTATCAATGGACGATTTACATAAAATATTTCTTCAGTCATTTATAAGAAGAGTAAAATAATTTTCTCTTTTGCTTAACCTGGCCTAAGATAATGGTAAAAAAAAAATGAAATACAGAGAATTATTATAAACGCCCCGGTCTGGTTTTTTCTTTGAATAATCTATGCTTATCAATTCTGACTGGCTTAGTGTTAGGCGATTGGACTTTTCATGGCTCCCAAGTTTGAGTCGTAACTAACAAAGATATCTCAGTCGTCCCGAGTTCAAATCCTCGGTCACGCTTGTAAATAGCCAATTGGTGCAGCCTCCCGCCAGTTGGGGTTTTTAATACAGAGCTTTACATTCTAAGACGAGTACGACTACGAGTACGAGATTTTCTCAATACTAAGTAGTGTACGCACGTGAGCCAGCGTCACTTTGGCGGGAAAACGTGTGGTAGCCTTCGTCATTCTACTACGAGTTTTCGCGTGAATGTCGTGGTGGCGAAACGAGATATCAAATTTTAAAAGTTTTATCATTTTGCGATCGGGTGAGCGCGTAACCTCCTTCACTAAAGATAACAATGCTAACTTCCTAGTAAAAAATGGTAAAATGAAGTTTTGCGGGAAGTCTACATTTTAAGAAGACGCGAAAAAACTTCAAGTCAAATCTCGTACTCGTAGTCGTCCTCGTCCTCAAATGTAAAGGTCTCTCTTCCTGTTATGTTCTACTTGCATCATTTGTTTCAGAATTATTTGAGTGGAGTGCCTGTAAACTAGCTGGATAAGCTAAGTGTACTTTCCACTATAAACAAACCTTTAATTTTTTTTTAAATCTAATCCTCTGGCTCTTACTAATTAATTTACTGTGTACCTTTTCGCTCGCGTGACAAGTTTTATCTTGTCTCTCAATTGTTCATAGCTTCTTCTGAATATTGGCATTTTTAAACTATAAATGACTGGATTAACAAGAGAATTAGTCAAATGTACCATTGTGGAAAGGTGAGCAACAAAATGAGGAAACAGGCTTGGAAACCATAGACTGATATTGTACCATGTAACGCTAGGAACCCACAAAGCAGCAGATGCACCGATCATGATAAAAAGAGTCTTGGAGAGTTTTGTATTTTGTTCGATGTTTATTCTGCTATGCTGTGCGTCGATAGCAGGAGTTCTGTTGTTCATTTTTTTCCTGATGGACAGGTAAGACACACAAATCGTAATCAAGGAGAAACCAATAATGATTGTAGCAGCAACTGCAAAATACTTCACTTGGTATTTTTTAACTACAGCAAGGAAACTGAATACACCTATAGTTATCCCAGCTAGCCACGCTATAACAACGCTATAGGTGTAGACCTTTCTGCTTGTTACACGATGTCGAAGCGGCCAAATCAAAGCAAAGGCTCGTTCCAGGGAAATCAGCACGAGAAAAAACACAGATGCACACGAGAAAGAGGCTACAAAAGGGGCTACAATGCTACCTTTCATCTCGGTAATAGTTTCGTTTGAGCCGATATGTCTTGGAAGAGCAAATGCTCCGACCTCTACAGTATCTGTGAGTCCAATAAGGAAATCCGCCACAGCCAAGTTAATAACAAGAAAGCTTGTTCGTTTCAATTTACTGTGATGGACCCAGAAAACAAACACGGTGAAGGCGTTAGAAATACAAACGATGATAGACAGAAAAGCGAGAAGGATTAAGACTGCAATGGAAGCAGTATCACCAGACATTTCGACATACAAACTTCCAGACCTTCTGGAGAATATTCTGTATATAGCCCAGTAGTGTTGGCTGATTTTATAGTTTTTGGTGATCGCTTTCTTTGCGGTGCCCTGCTACCTGGGGTAAAATAGTTGCTTATATAAGCACACCTTCACCCAAAAAGAGTTTCATTAAGCACAGGAAATGTATTATTTAACAACCACTCAGTTGTATATGAAAGACTGAATGACATATCTCAAAGAAAGACAAAAGCCCAAGGGATGATTTGAACGCATTTTGCTTTGCCTGAATGCGTTTACAATGTTTGAAAAATCTAGCATGGCTTTTAAGGTTTACAATCAATATGCTAAGTAATATAATTTCTAATGAAACTAAAATTTGTGAAACTGTGTAATTATAAATATTAAATTAAACAGCAGAGACTACTAAAAATTTAAACGGCGAATCCAAAGGGTCATGTAGCAGCTGCTCTGAAGAGAAGCCACCAATGGTGCCTATCCTCGGCCCCAAACAATACTAAAGCAATTGAAAGAATGTCATTTTTCCTGCAAGCAATTAGGAGAGACCTTCCAAGCAGCTCCTACACTACCCAAGCAAAATTTTGAAATGTAATTTGAACATAATTTTTTTTAAATTAAATGTGTGTTGACATTGATTGTGTTACTACACCACCCTTATTTTTTTTTCTTTTTTTAACCAAAGTACCTATAGTTTCCAAGAGAAATCCACCTTTGAATACAAAAGAAAAAATCTGCCCATAGAATGATAAATCATGTTAAAATGATCAGGAAAAGAGTGAACGCTTATTTTCCTAAAAATGACTGATTTGAAATCAGCATGCTGCTAGGGGATGATTGAACTTCATTGTATTTAAAATGAAATTCATCAGGAAATTGAGTAGTTTTAATTTTCAGTGGACAAAAACCTTGTACCAGAATAATCTCAAGCATATTGCTTTCTTTTTCACACTTTTCAAGGGCTATTAATGTAATTGTAAGTTGTATAATAAAACTTCGAAGAAAAGATTCTTTATATTGGAGCCCAAGAAAACGTAAAACAAACTACAAAAGCCTCACATTTCTCAAAGTGGAGTGTTAGCAATGACGAATTTACCTGTACTGTGTTTTCTCAATTGGTATGAAATTTGAAATTAGAAATTGTCTTTGGCGCTTTTACAGATAACTAATTACATCTATAGCCCTTGACAAGTGTAAAAAAGAATGTGATGTGGCTTATTTTTCTTTTTTCTGGTGCAAGGCTTTCGTCCACTGAAAATTACTATAATTCAATTTCCTAATGGATTTCTTCTTAATATCTTCTCTGTATTTTTGAACCCGTGTTAATAAAAGTATTTTACCATGACATATCCGCAACTTTTATTATTTTAGGTTTTAACCATGGTTTGTTCACATAATATTTCCTTAATTTTTAATAGAAAAGGGGAATTAAAACGCTTACTTTAAAACTACATTGTAAAAAGATCGGGGACAGATGAGTAAGGGTGAGACAAGAAATTAAAAAAGGATTTTGTTTTATTGCGCATCATTCTTGGTTATTTTGTTAAACGTTATTAATATAAGGAGATATTTCTCTTTTTATTTCGTTCCAACAGTGTCAGCCTTTTACTTCGGCTCGAATCCTACTGCTATTATTGTTCAAAAAGGTATGAGTCAATGTCTGATAAATTTTAATCTAAGAATCACCCCCAAAATAATATCAAAATATTGTGAAGTCTAAATGCTGCGGCGGCAGACACTGCCGATCAAAATGTTGACAGTCAAATTTTAGACAAAAATCTCAAGCGGTTCATAAAGAGAAAAGAAAGCAATGGAACTTAAAAAGTTCGAGAAAACTTAAAAGATGCTTTAAGCATCATCTCCTGCTTTTATATTACAAATGAAATGAAGAAAATCCTGTCGCCATCATTTTACGCCGAACTTTTCATGAGCCAAAGCTAACTCGAAATAAGGCCGACCCAAATTATTTAGATCAGCTGAATTGATTTAGACGCCGATCTTAATTACAGCTGAACTAGGGTGTTCAGCAAAAGGCAAAACTACAGTGTTAAAAACACGATTTAATAATTTATGCATCAGGTTTGGTACATGAAAAGTTCTGCTTTCTGAATGAAAGCCGCTCCAAAGTCGCTCCAAAGGCGAAATTCCTGGCCGGGCAAGGCGAAAGGAACGGCTGAAATAGGTGTTCTTATTATTCAGACGTCCAACTTGTCATGTACTTAGTTCAATGTATTGGGTTCGGATAGGATAGGTTCGGTTCATGAAAAGTTCGACCTGAACCCGGGTCCCAGATTTCATTTTTCAAGAGTCGAGCTCAAATTAAAAAGCTTGGTCACTACACTGTATATTTCTTTTATCATATGCTCTATAAAAATATCCTCAATGAACTATGAATTTTTTCCGCTGCATTCGACTTTTTATAAGTCTAAATCGTCTAAGACTTTGTCTGAACATTGGCATTCTCAGACTGTAAATCACTGGATTTACGACGGAATTGCACGTATGAATCATGATTAACAAATATTTCACAAATTTAGGAAACATTCCAGGAGCGAAATTAAGACAAGAAAATAAAACAAGGCTTGGAACCCAGAAGGCAGCAGATGCTCCTGTCATAAGGAACAAAGTTTTGGAAAGTTTCCTTGTGTTTTGCTCAACCATTTTGCGCTGATGTGTTGTACCGATTGTGGGGTCACTGCGTTTAAGTTTTTTTCGGATTGCTAGGTATGATGTGCACGTCGTTGCCAGTGATCAGACGATTACGATTGAAAATGTGAGGGTATAGTGAGAAATCTTGAGGAGTCCGTAGCTAACCAGCCAGGTTAATGAACCCAAAGAAACACCTGCTAGCCAAGCGGCGACGAGACCGTAGATGAACGTCTTCGTGCTTGTTGTTCGATGAAGAAGCGGCCAAATCAAAGCAAATGCGCGTTCCAGAGAATCCAACGAGAAGATGGGCTACGGCCAAATTGATAAGAAGTAAGTTCGTCTTAGTTTGTTTCGGTGAATCCAAAACACAGCTATGGTGAGAAAATTAGCAGCGAATACGATGAGAGATTGGAGAGTGGAAACACAAAGTGAAGCAATGGGTGGTGTTTGGTCTGACATTAGTATACTCTTACTGTAGATTGAAGCCTTCGTTAACTTAGTGACGTTTTAGCTCCGTGCACTGTTCAACCGCACCCTGAATGCGAGAATCGAAGGAGAAGATTCTTCGTTACTCCTCGAATTTTTTCCAAAATCCGCCTTCTAGTATTGTCGATCTATTTGAAAACAAACATACCCATCACCAGGATACCTTATATTAATTCATCTTTCGAAAGACAAGATTAAATCATGTTTATTTGCCTGACACTTAAGGTCGGTACACACGAGGCGACAAGTTGCAGCAACATGTCGCGGCGACACGTTGCAGCGACAAATCGCTTCGTGTGTACTGGAGAATTTGTGTGAAAATCTTTGTCGCTGCAACAGAATTTGTCGCCGCAACAAGTCGCACAGATTCAGTCTGATTTGATTTTTTGCGACTTGTTGCAGCGACAAAATTCTGTTGCGGAGACAAAGATTTTCACAAAAATTCTCCAGTACACACGAAGCGATTTGTCGCTGCGACGTGTCGCCTCACCTTGTTGCTGCAACTAGTCGCCCGACCTGTACACACGGAGTGATCTGTCGCCGCGACGTGTTGCAGCGACATGTCGCCTCGTGTGTACCGACCTTTAGTGTTGAATCGAATAATAGAAAGAATTGTAATATTTATTTCTACGAAAAGTACCGCAATGTTTAGATAACCCACTGAGATATAAAAAGAAGGAACAGCAATTTTAGTTAAAGATTCATTTAAATATCACATTTGAAAACAAACCTTGAGAATAATTTGAAATTGGTGAACTCAGGGTTCCCTTGATGGTTAACACTTATTCGCATGACATGTATACCGTGATTCATGGATTCAAAACGTTTGAATCATTTAAAACTGTTGAGTGAGATCCAGGGTGGATAATGAAATTGAAGGCTTTCGACTGGCGTACTCATAATTTTTTCAATCTATTTCATGTTCCCTATCAAGATGCCCTTATTTTAAGATAATGGTCCGAACAAGCGGGGTACATTGTTTTTGGTAGCATATTTTGGTAGCACAATGAATGGTATCAACCCAGGAGTCATTTTATAAGTATATTAAACACCCGCGGAATAAGAACCGCACCACAAACGTTTAACCTTATAGCCCACTAAAAAAAAAAAAAAGCAAAGAGCAATTTTAGATTCAAGTTTCAATTACATAACACTTTTGAAAACAAACCTTGAGAATTATTTGAAATCGGTGAACTCAGAGTTCCCTTGATGGCTTACACTTAGTGTATAACGTGTATACAGTGATTGGTGGATTCAAAACATTTGCAGCTAGTGCATGAGATCCAGGGTAGATAATGAAATTGAAGGCTTTCGATTGGAGTGCTCATTATTTTTTCAATCAATATCACGTGTTCCCTTGTTTGAAACCGATAAAGGTCCAAGCAAACACCTGGTTTGTAAGTAAATTTCTTTGAGCATAGTAAGCATTGCAGTTTTTTTTGTGTATCTGGTAAATCGAACGAGGTCAATCGCCTCACAATACTAAATTTGAGACCATGATCTTTAGATATTCAGACAAGTTTTCCTGGGGAAAGATATCTCATAAAGTTACCTTCAACAGACTCCTGCTTGACAGGACTGATTTTTGCACTGCAACTGCTTAATTTATTACTCATCCAAAATATATGCGCCCTTTTTCTGATTGACTTAAAGGCCAACTGTTGCTTACCGCATTTGGAAGATGCGAGCAACATACCATCGATTCGATGGTATACATTTCATTGCAAACGAGGGAAATAGACCATCGATCAACCTCCATTCTTCACTTGAACGAAATTCAATTAAAAGTTTTAGTAATTATATTGAATCTTACCCAATAAAATGTGATGATACTTCAAAGGAGAGTTTGTAAGACATAAAAAAGGGGTCTTTTCGAGGAGAATGTTTGACGAGTTCTAGTGCAATTGAACCTCTAATGAAGCACAATAAATCATAGTAAATCTCCATGCTACAATATGCAGGGGACATTGTTTTAGCATATTTTTGTAGCACTGCATTGAATGGTTTGAACCCAAGAGTCATGTCAATATAGACATAAGTTAAGTAAACACCCGAGAATAAGAACCTACTTATTTTAAGTCTGGCAAAATAGGTTCTTGTATTTTGGGGTACTTATTGAAACACTTGTGGGAGACCGCTGCGTGAGGGAAATATGCTCACTTTAATACATCAAGAAACCTTACATATAGCCTACTTAAATATTCATGCCTATGAAACATTACGTAAAGCTACTCCTAATAACAAACAGCAATTTATAAGTGACACTCGTCACACCTTCCCTCTTACAAAAAAGGAGATAATTAACAACACGAATTAACATTTATTAACCAACAGCTCAATTTATCCCTAACTTGTACTACAAAACTTAGAGTTCTGGGCAGAGTTCTCAAGCCAAGCCTTCTCAACTGGACGTCTCACACGCAGAGCGTCACCGAAGCTGATTCGCGTGCCGATCGTAGTTGCTCTTTTGGCGCCATTTTTCCTTTCGGCCAACGTACGCAGGTCACCACGCAATGAGTAACGTGGTTGTAAAGGAGACTCTGACATCGGATGTAACGCACGGCATAGACGTCCCATCAAGTGCTGTAACGGGCTGGTATCCATGCCCTTAGGAGGCGTATTGCGCCAGTCAAGTGGAGCTTCAAATTCTGACATACCGGTTTCTTTGTATTGCTCAAACAGACGGTTCACCGTACGCACAGCGTTTTCGGCTTTACCATTTGACTGAGGGTAGCGAGGCGATGTAGTGACATAATTGAAAGACCATCCCCTAGCAAATACTTGAAAATCGTTGGACGAAAACTGTGGGCCATTATCCGTCACAAGGATCTCAGATATACCAAAACGAGCAAACATGGCCGTCAACTCGCGAACGACAGCTTGAGTTGAGGTAGCGGAGAGACGCGTCATTTCGATGTAGTTGCTAAAATAATCAGTAACAACCAACAGGGTCCGCCCATGCAGCTCACACAGGTCAGCGGTTAGCTTGGCCGATGGTCTTGCGATCACTTCGTGTTGAGGGAGCGGTTCCGTAGTCTGGGACGTACGATGAGCCAAACACACGTCACATTTGGAAACATAGTCAGACGACATCCTAGGCCAAAAAAGACATTCTCGGACCCGTCTCAAATAGCCTTCGATACCAATATAGGTCGCATGAGCGACGGACATAAGTTCCTTGCGCATACTGGACGAAACAACCAACGCAGGCCCTTGAAAATTAAATCACCTTGAACAACCAACTCATCATGCAGATCAAAATAGGGTCGAAGATACGGAGGAACGTCGATTTTTCTCTCAATGACTTCTTTCATTCTAAGCTGCAACTTGTTCCTTTTCAAATGACCGCACTCATCACATTTCTCGGGAAACGCAAGAAGATTCCCTTCATGGTATTTAATTGCAGCATGCGGCGATTCACCGTACCCAACAACAACAAAATCATCCGCTATGACCTCAAGACCCCTCGAACCTTCAATCAACTCATTCATTTTACGCTGAAACACTTCAGTGCAGATCTGATCCCGAACGGCATCCGTTTCCAGTGGTATCTTCCAAACGGCGTATTAAACTTAATACAGAACGAACACTCTTCATCCTGAACAACATGCCAGAAGCCACTGGAAACATCATTGCAAAGCGCGATTTATACCCATCGGATCCAAACATATGCGTAATTTGCCATTCGTCTTTGGTACGACAACGATCGAGCTGATTCAAGGGGTGGGCGTTGTCACTCGAGCAATAATTTCACGCGTCTCTAATTCTTCCAGTGTCTCTCTAAGACGTTCGCGGATGGCGAATGGAATTCGGCGAGGAGGATGTTGAACTGGCCTAGCCGACTTATCCAGCACCATGTGATATTCGCCTGCAAGAGCACCGACACTATCAGTAAAGACACGAGGAAACCTCTTAAACAGCTAGTAAGCGGAGACCGGGGAAGTAGCCGGGATATCATGTGTATAAACTCCACCTTGGGACGCCTGTGGTCGGTTCAACTGGTCGTTGTCTAGATACGTAATAATGTTCATTCCAAGGCACGCTTTAATGACCAGAATAGGCCTAACTCTCTTGCTTTCAACCAAATTGCAGACAAGCAGACATCTGAAATCTCCACGCCATACACGCGAATGAACTTTCCTGAGGACAGGAATTTAAATACCACCATAAGGAATAATCGCCGTATTGACAGGTGTCACATTGCGCAAATCAAAATCTTTGGTCGCCTTCTTGTACAGGTACAAAAGGGACAACATTGCACTGAGCTCCTGTGTCGGGCTGAAACCAAAGATAATATCCAGATTCCAACTTCAGCGTTGCCAGTTGAGAATCATCTGGCGCGAGACGTGGGCTTAGGCGCGTGTCCACAACACACGTTCGCGAAATGTTTTTTCATGCCACACTTATTGCAGCTCTGTCCATAAGCCGGACAAATCTCACGCTTCGCTAAACCACGCTCACGTCCGCAAAATGCACAGCTACATTATTTTCCCGCGCGCCAGTATTTCTCGAGCCAAGACCGCGCCTACGTCTCCCGCTTTTAGCCTCTCTAGACACATGTACCATGGTCTCATGGGAGCGACAAATCTCGTCCGTTTTCTCTAAGGAAAATTCAAATTATTTTTACGAAGAAGCCTCTCACGAACCTTTGAATCTAGAATTCCAAACACGAGCGTGTCCCGTAAAATCTGATTCGGGGTAATCGATTCAAATTCGCACCTTTCTGCTAACTGCCGAAGAGCTGTCCGACAATGATCGTAAGACTCTCCCGATTCTTACATTCTAGAATAAAACTTGTATCTTTCGAAAGGCACTTTTTGAAGTGGCTGGCAGTACGCTGCAAACTTTTGTAACACTGGCTGAATCTGGTCGGTGTCGGTCGCCCAATCCGTAAACGTAGCAAAAACATTTCGCGCTTTAGCTCCGATTACGTAAGCAATGTTGCTACCTGTACGGCTTTGGGTTTCTGGTGTAACTTCATGGCAATCGAGTAATTCTTCCAAGCTTGCTCAAACTCCTTCCACTTTTCTGCTGCGTTCGAATTATGAATATCAAACGGTTGAGGAGGTGTTAAAGCAAATAAAGCACCTCTCACAGTATCTGTCGACCAATTCTGCAATGCACCGGCCCCTTCCCTGCCTTCGCCTCCCGGCATCGCGAGAAAAAAAAGGAAAACACGTAGGTTCGCTAGAAGATTCCTGACGCCATGAAACACTTGTGAGAGACGGCTACGTGAGGGAAATATACTCACTTTAAAAAGTATAGGTAATGAATAGGCATGATTTGTAGTGATATTTGGCATAAATACCACGAGTGATATTTCGAAATTGTTAGACGTAATTAAAATTGAGACAATTTTGAAATATCACGAGTGGTATTTATGCTAAATATCACGTAGGAATCATGTAATTATTTGTTTATACTACTACCCGAAAAAGGTTTGTAATTTTCACATGTAGGCTTTTCAAATTAAGCTGAAATACCACTGCTCTAAGCCAATGAAATTGCAGTAATTTCTCATGTAGTAGTATAAATCAAGAAACCATTTTTATAGCCTACTTAAATATTCACATGTCATTACATATTATGTAACGCTAATCTTAATAACAAACAGCAATTTACACTTGGCACTCGTCACACTTATTGGCAATTTAGACTTAATTTTTATGAAGGAGTGTAATAAATCGATGATTGCCAGCAAAAAATAAACTTGGGTTTTGTCCTTAAAGTGCCCATAACCTAAAATTTTATATTTTCTTATCTGAAACTACACATTATTAAAATAACTTCTGCTAAAAAATTTTGCGATTTGAACCAAAGACGATTTTTTTAGAATTTTTTAAAAACGTTCAAATTTCATGCCATTTTGGCACACCATTCGTCCTAGTCTTCTCTCGGAGTATGACGTTATATGACGTACTTTAAGGAACACGTGACTTTATCGACAGGAAAACATTAGCCTACTAGTTTGCTTGACCAGCGTCGCGGGTGTACCGCAAAAATGTAGACTTCAAAAATTGGTTAAAAAATCGCGTTTTGTTCAAACCGCAAAATTTTTTCGCAGAAGTTATTTTAATAAGGTATAATTTCAGATGAGAAAATAAAAAATTTCAGGTGATGGGCTCTTTAAAAATGCAGTATTTGTTCCATCACTACCACCACACCACCACCCTACCACCACCACCACGGCATTTTTATTGTTTTCTCTTCACCACTAAACCACCCCCGTCCCCCAACACATTTCTTTTATTTTCCCACCACCACTACCATTCTCTCCACTTCCACCACCACCACCACATTTCTATTGTTTTTCGTTCCACAACCACTACTACATTTCTACTGTTTTTCTTCCTCTTCATTTGTGTTTTTGGATCGATTTAAGGTCCATGTAGGTACAGTGAATTGTCCTCTAAACGAATGTAACACAATTGTTTCGAAGCAGTATTTAATTTCACGAATATTCTAACTAACAGCGTAAGAAATGTAGGACTGTTAAGTAAGTCGATCAATCTGCATGAGCATAATTTTTAATGAAATTATGAATGTATAATCCGCTGAAGGTTACAAAGACAAAAGGACAGTGTGTTGAGACACTTCCATAAAATGGCCCCTTTTTGAACAGTGCAGAATGAACCGTTTTTAAAAGTATTGCGCGCTAATTCAATCTTTATCGCTGCCAAATTTTTCGATCTCCACTGTGGAACCTTCAACTTATTTTTAGGTTCTTGCAAAATACAGTGTAGTGGCATTCTCAAACTATACATTATTGGATTAATAAGAGACCTGGTTAAATAAAACATGAAAAAAATGCAATTCACAAAATCGGGGAACAAGCCCTTGCACTAAAGACTGACCAGTTGCACAATGCCTGCTTGAGGTCCAAAGTGTCACAGATGCACCTATTACAATGAAAAGGGTCTTCATGAGTTTTAAGATACGAAAAGCAAATCAAGAGTAAAGACAGAGCAATGAGGACAGAGTGTAGGTGACAACGTCATATTTCAAGTCGAAGATCTCGTAAATCGGTAGTAATTTCAGTGCAACTAGAGCGATTCTAACCAACCAAACCATTGTGGCGATAACCCCCCACCCCAAAGAAAAAGCAATGAAAGCATTTGCAGTAAATTTGAAGAGCGATAAGACACTGAAAACGACACTTGAAATCGCCTTACTAATCGTATCAGACAAAACACAGAGAGAAAAGAGAAAAGGTAGCGTTTTGCAGACCCTCTAGACTACTAGAATATCTGCTGAGTTGTTAACTGGGTATTGCTGAGCCGCGTTTTGCAGAAGCCAATAGCGATCCTCTCATTAAAGAAATACAAAGTTTACGGATTGCTAAGGCCTACAGCTAGTAATATCTATGATAAATAGAAGATGGATTATTAATTTAACCGTGCTATGAATTGAACCAAAAGAAAGGTAATAGATTAGGTCTTGGCTTTAATTAAGAATGATGAAAGCATACAATGTGTTTACAAGAATCGCGCACAGATGACTCTGTTAAAAGTATATTAAAACTTTGAACTCAACTGTCAAAAAAAGTTAATTAGGTTTATGTTAATTACACATATCTTGTTATACTAAATAAAGGAAAACATTGAAAAGTACCGTCATTAGACGTTCAAATCTTTGTTTGTGGTGTTATCTTAGGCTCCATAATAATATCCTCAATTTACTACGTATTTTTTCCGCTGCTTACGAATTTTTACAAGTCTAAATCGTCTGATACTTTGTCTCAACATAGGCATTCTTAGACTGTAAATCAGTGGATTTGCGACGGAATTGCACATATGAATTATAGTTAAAACATATTTCACAAATTCAGGAAACATTCCTGGAGCGAAATTAAGACAAGAAAATAAAACAAGGCTTGGAACCCAAAAAGCAGCAGATGCTCCTGTCAGAAGGAACAAAGTTTTGGAAAGTTTTCTTGTGTTTTGCACAACGATTTGTCGCTCATGTGCTGTTTCGATAGTAGGGTCACGGCGTTTGAGTTTTTTTCGGATTGCTAGGTATGATGTGCACATCGTTGCCAGTGATCAGACGATTACGATTGAAAATGTGAGGGTATAGTGAGAAATCTCAAAGATTCCGTAGCTAACCAGCCAGGTTAATAAACCCAAAGAAACACCTGCTAACCAAGCGGCGACGACACCGTAGATGAACGTCTTCGTGCTTGTTTTTCGATGAAGAAGCGGCCAAATTAAAGCAAATGCACGTTCCAGAGAAATAAGAACCAGAAAGAACATCGATGTACTTAAAAATGTAACTTGAAGTTGGATTACAAGATAGTCATAAGTCGTGACATTAAGTTTAGATTTTCTAATGTAACTAGGAAGTGCTAACGCCTTCAAATATGGTGTCATGTATGCGAATCCAACTAGAAGATCGGCTACGGCCAAATTGATTAGAAGTAAGTAAGTTCGTCTTAGTTTGTTTCGGTGAATCCAAAACACAGCTATGGTGTGAAAATTAGCAGCGAATACGATGAGAGATTGGAGTGTGGAAACACAAAGGGAAGCAATGGTTGCTGTTTGTTCTGACATTAGTATAACTTAGTGACGTTTTAGCTCCGTGCACTGTTTAACCGCACCCTCATTGCGAGAATCGAGCGAGATGATTCTTCGTTATGCAAAAGCCTGTGCTGTGATACAGATTGGTGGCACTAATACATCCACGATTGAAAGTTTTCTGTCGTTAAATACCAAAATAAGTGACAAGTAAAAATCTTGGAATATTTTATCTTAAATCCTGATTTCTAATTGGCTGAAGCTCTCGCCATTACAGACAGTCATCCGGAACACACAGTTTCTTACAGGGCATAAACCTTTTCCTAGCATCGTCCTAATAAGGCAAAGGTCTAATGGAAACTTAAGTCAACTTGTATATGTAATTACATTACTTTTATCTTTATTACTATTTATGAATCTTTAATATTCTTCGAAATCACCATTTGTGAGCTTTTACTGAACGTTTAGTTGTTGAAGTTTGGATCTTTTAATCTTTTCAAGAATGCATTTTTTTATGAAATAGATATTATATCTGAGGTAGTTATAGTTTTAACTTAGGTACCGTTTAGGTTTTAAGGTAGGTTTGCCGTAACAACAACAACAAAACTTTATTAATAAACAAATAAAATTACAAACGTATTGCCCGCAGCTAGCAAGGCTATTCGAGGCGGGACATTTGCATGTAAAATATAAGAAATAAAGACTAAGGCTATTAACTAAGGAACGTTGATAGTTAGTTACAAATAAATGAAACAAAAATCGTAATATGGATGAGGACTAGGTAACAGACTAAAGGAAAAAGAATTAACGACATAATTGTAAAAGTAGAAACTAAGAAGCAAGAATTTATTCTTCGACGTTTTTGGCTAAATTTACCTTTTTAATTAAGGTGGGCGTATCAATATAGTTATCTTCTGAATTCAGAATATCAAAAAGTAATTTGCGGAGTGTCGTTTTGAACTTATTCTTGGGAAATTGTCCGATGTTATAGGGTATCTCATTTCACAGCGTAGCCCCAAAGCAATTAAAGACAGTTTATACAATTCTATATCAGAACTGTTAACATAAAAATTTCCTGAAGCCGATGCTCTTGTATTGTAGTAGTGGCAGCTACTTGTTGTTTGAAATAGATTTAAAATACCAGAAGGTACCATATTGTTATGGACATCATGCATAAGATTTGATATAGTCTGATAATATAAGAAGTTTGAGGGTAAAACGTTGGCGTCAATGAAGAGAGGTATTGCGTGATCGCGTCTATCCGAGAAGTTTATTATCCGAAGAGCTCTTTTTTGTAGCAATAGAATTTTGTTGATATGTGTCTTTGCTGCTTGGCACCAAGCAGCAAGTTCATTTGTAATATACGGATAAATTAGTGATTCATAAATTTTTAGAATAATTTGCCGGGGTACAAAATGACGCAATTTCGCAAGTAAGCCAACCGTTTTGCTGATTTTTAAAGAGACAATGTCAATATGATGTTTCCAGGTAAGGTTTTAATCAATCAAAATGCCAAGATATTTAATATATATCTTGGGTTCAAGAGTAGCATACTCATTTTTCTCTTTGTCAAATAAACATATTTTAGGTTCATAATTAGGCTTTTTTTTGTTTAGGATGAAAGATTACAAAGGTGGATTTACTAATGTGAAGAGTTAGCTTAGTTAAAAGTTAATGAATGAGGCTGAGTATCTTATGAAGAATTATGGAGATCGAGGAGGGTGTACGGCCTCGACGGATAACACCCTCCGAGATCTCCATAATTCTTCATATGATACGAAAGCCGAATTCAATAACTGTTTTATTATTCATTCAAAATAATTCCTAGTTAAACATAGCTAAGACATACTTACCTTCATCGATCCATCGATGTTCAGTTCATCTTCGATAGTGTACGTTTAGGTTTGTCCAGCTCCGCAAATATTCTCCAAAAAGAAGAAGAAGAAGAAAAACCTTTATTAATTTATACCGCTCAGGGTAGCCCCTTCAGACGCAAAAAGCTGTCTGTTATCAATGGGAGCCCTGAGCAACAACGCACAAAAACACACTAAACATATAAACATTACACTAATACAGGTAATAATATAAATAGAAAACTACTTTCAATTAAAAGATTAAAAGATGTAAAACACGAAATATCATTAAGATAATTCGTTAAAAAGAGTGCAACCATAATAATAGAAGGATCTTTTTGCAATTTCAGTTCTCACGGCAGGCGGATGTAAGAGGTTGCTTTGTCTAGTAGCGCGCGCATGGATTGTATTATTACGTTTAAAATATTGTTTAAAATACTGGGGACATTGACCTTGCAGGCATTTCTTAACGAGTTTAAAAACAGATTGACGTCGTCGCTCCTCCAAGGTGGGCCATTTCAGAACGTCCATTGCCTGCTTGCTGCGCACAGTACAAGCCACTATCCTAGCAGCCCGGTTTTGGAGGGCTTCAAGGTCTTGTTTACGACCTTCCCCGCAACAGCCCCACACACTTACACAGTATTCTAAAATTGGCCTAATTAGACTACAGTACACTACATTTGCACTCTCTCTAGTGAGGCTTCTGCGAAGCCTGCCGAGCATTCCTACGCGTTTTCCCGCCTTCGAAATTAGGTACTTTATTTGCTCGTTCCAGCTAAGGCGGTCATCAAAAACTATACCTAGATAAGTGAAGTGAAAAACCCGCTTAATTACATTGTTATTTAAAGTAATAGAAAAAGAGTTAACAGCAGATAATCTAGGGGCGGTTCCGAAAAGCATAGCTTCGGTTTTTTTACATTAAGAAACAGACTATTAAAAGAAAGCCAGTGATCAATCTTAGACAGTTCGGCATTCAGCTTGTCTTGAATGACAGAGGCTTGAGAGGATGAACAGTATAAAACAGTGTCATCAGCGTACATCAGAATATTGTAATCGGACACTACTTCAGGTAAATCATTAATGTGTAGAATAAACAATAATGGTCCGAGGATAGAGCCCTGAGGCACACCAGTAGAGACGGCTACCGAAGCAGAAGTCACGCCTTGAAACTCTACAACTTGGGTGCGGTTCGACAGGTAATCCGTAAACCAGCCATGCTCTTTATCCAAAATCCCCAAATTGGAAAGCTTGTCCAGAAGTACCGCATGATCACAGTGTCGAAAGCTTTGCGAAGGTCAATAAACACAGCACCAGTTAATTGACCTTGGTCCATGTTCCTACGAATATTATCAGAAAAACTAAGAGCAGCGAATTCTGTCGAGTGACACTTCCGAAACCCGCACTGATAAGGGCTCAAGATCTTGTTTTGCTGGAGATATTTGTAGAGTTGGATATGTACAGCCCGTTCTAAAACCTTAGATAGAACAGGTAAAATGGAAATCGGGCGATAATTGTCCATCTCATCAGCCTTTCCCTTTTTAAAGAGTGGAATGAACCGTGCGGATTTCCAGTCACTAGGAACTTTGGCAGTACGTAACGAGGTGTTGATAATAAACGCCACAGGCTTAGCTACAATGTCCGCAGAATCTTTTAACAGGCGAGCCGGTATGCGATCCAAACCCACAGCCTTCCCAGATTTCAGGCTACCTAGTTGAGACATAACAAACTCCTCAGAGATCTCAAGAAAATTAAACGGCGGATACTGACGGGCAGGAGTATCGGAATCACGCTGTTTATTACCACAAGTTTTCCGTAAAGTGGCCATCAATTTGCTTGCTGCAGATGCGAAAAACTTATTAAATGCGTTGGCAATGCATTGTTTGTCAGAAGAGACAACGCCGTCCACTTTAATGTTTGGAGAAGTAGCTTTCTTTTCTCCCGGTAGGATTTTCTTGCTTGCTTATTTCGAGCGAACTCGAACTCCATTAACTAGCTTCATCCATTCCTTCCGGTTTTCCATAATGTTCTTCAGTTCAGCTATGCTCAAACCAGTATCATTTTGCAGCTGGTCTACGTATGTTAATGCTGGTCTTCCTCTCTTTCTTGCGCCGTGCTTTGGTTCCCAGAGTAGTAAATCACTTATCACCTCATCCTTTTTTCTCCAACAGTGTCCTATAAACCGCAGCCTCCTGATCATCAGTGTATCTGTAATCTTAGGAAGGTTGCCGTACAGTTCTTTGTTGGTTTTATGCTCCTTCCAGGAAACTCCAAGAACTGCTCTGAGCATTCTTGTGTACGTACCATCTAGTCTATTCATCATCTTTCCAGTCATCGTCCAGCATTCAGCACCATAAAGCAGTACACTTTCAACTGTGGCCCGAAAGAAACCTATTTTGAGATGATTTTTTAGGTTTGATTTCCACACTTTCATCATTTTGTTAAGTGCACTCCAAGCTTGTCCAATTCTTATATTCATGTCCTTTTCACTGGATTATATCCACGAACCAAGGTATTTGAAGTTATCTACTTGCTTCAATTTGTTCCCTGCCAGTGTGACAAGATCACCTACAGGTTGATTGTACAGCATGTATTCCGTTTTCTTGTAGTTAACATGCAGACCCACTGTTTTCGCAGCAACCTCCAGTCTTAATAAGAGAAGTTGTTCCTCTTTAAGATAGTCAGAAATTAGGGCAAGATCATCCGCGAAATCAGTGTCGGTGATGTATGTTGCTACATGACGGGAGCTCAGCCGTGGTGTAAGAGTGAACCCAGTGTGTGTTTCTCTAGTAGCTTCTCTAAGGGCATAATCCAAGGCTATGATAAATAGGAAAGGTGCGAGTGTGTCTCCTTGCAGAACCCCCGCAAGAATTTCAAAGAATTCCGTATCACCATCAGGAGTTATCACCTGTGCTTCGGTGTCCTTGTAGAGTATGCTGATGGCATCCACTATCTTTGTTGGAATTCCATATGCCTTCAAGATCTCCATCAATTTCCCACGATGTATCGAATCAAAGGCTTTACTGAAGTCTACGAAAGTCAATATTGCAGGAAGCTGTTTTTCTTTTATTCCCTCTATGAGCCTACGCAGAGTTAAAATTTGCGGTAGTGTAGATCTACCCGTACGAAATCCATTTTGGTTCACCCTGAGCAGAGGATCCAGATGAGGTCTCATTCGATCTAATAGAATCTTGTTATTGATTTTCGCAGCTGTGACAGTTAGGGATATACCACGATAGTTTCCTGTGTCACCCAAGTCACCTTTCTTTGGTAGGGGTATTATTCCACTTTTAACCCATATATTCGGTCGGTCACCATTGAATGTTTTGTTGCAGATGTCAAGCAATTGTCGATTTAAGGCACCAGTTTTCCAGACTTCAATTGGTATGTTGTCGAGACCATGTGCTTTGTTATTTTTGAAACCTTTGATACTTTTAACCAGTTCTTCCATGGTTATGTTATCCGTGTTGATGGGAAGAGGTTCATGTATTATGGAAGCAGTTGGTTTTATTGTGACACTGGGTGTTTGACCTAGCAGGTTTGAGAAGTGTAACTTCCATTTACTGACACGGTCTTCAGGACTTTTGGCTTTTCTTAATAAAAAGAAAATAGAAGATGTCGCCCTTCGAGGTGTCCTCTTGCTGTTCTTGCCATGTTTTTAGCTATTTTTTCGTCTAGTTCTTACTCTTGAAACGAGTGAAATGTCCGCCATTTTTTCAAGTTCACAACCAAAACAACTCAACCTCGTCCCCAGATCTTCTCGGTTCACGGTGCCTTAACCTGCGAAAACGCTGCATTTTTGACGTCATTTCCTCATTAAAGTAAAAATTCTTCCAAATCTGGTCATCAGTAACTGGTTATGGTGAATTAAACGTGTGCTTTTAGCCAAACAGAATCGGGGAAATATTTTCAATGAATAATAATAGATGTTAACGAGTCGTACAGTTTGCACAATTCAGTATTGACTACTGTTTCAATAACTTTCAAATTTTTTTCAGCAAAAAGTATATTGGTATCATCAGCGAAAAGATAGAATTTAAGTTTAGTAGAGCACTGGTGGATATCTTAAACATATAGCAAAAAGAGAAGAGGACCTACAACGGAACCTTGAGGAACTCCAAAGCTGACTGATTGATATGTGGTCAGCAATTTGAGTAGATGCTGTATATCATGTGTTTGTAAGCTCTTAGGTGTTACGTGTCTAAATCAACTACTTACTTACTTACTTACTTACTATATATCCTTTGCATCAATGCAGTGTCTTAAAACACCACAAGACTTCTGAGCTAGCTGTTCTGACCGATTGTAGCTCTCATGCACTGTCATTTTCGAGCAAAATCGTTCTTCCATTACACCGCCTGTTTGCCGATTACCCAGTAAAATTTCACATCTTGGACGACCTTGGAACAGCAGCATCCCTCATAATCCCACAATGACTCCAACGGAATTGCTAAACCTTTCAACCAAGTTGGAAAGATGACAAAACAGACACGGAATCTCCTGTAAGCCATTTCGAAATTCGATAGTGTTCATTCACCATCGTATGTTATCTGTGAAAGTAAAGTGAATGAGCCACTAGCAAAGGGTACAGTAACACCCAGGAAAAATAGCAGGTTTTAATTTTTTAAAGGCTTGTTTATTATTATTTACAAATAGAATTCGTAGGATCATTATCTATCTAGTTAAAACTGGCAACTATGGAAAATTCAAAGCCAGTTTTGTGATGAGGATGTGGAGCTTTTTACAGAAACTTGTCTCGGTAACTTAACATTTATTCAACTAATTAATTTGACTTGTCGATAAGCGAATTAGATTTTCTCCCTAATCGTGTAACTTTTTGATGGCCTGCAAATCCTCAACTTATTTGCGAGTTGCTTTGAAGTCTTCTTGAACACTGGTATTCTAAAGCTGTAAATTATTGGGTTCACGAGAGAATTTGTAACATGTAGGAAATTGGTAACGTAATCCATAAATTCAGGAAGCAAACCGAGCCACAAGTTGTTAATGTTGTACAATGTCATGCTTGGAGCCCACAAAGTAAGAAATGCTCCTATCACAATAAAGAGAGGAAAAATAGCAGGTTTTAATTTTTAAAGGCTTGTTTATTATTATTTACAAATAGAATTCGTAGGATCATTATTTATCTAGTTACAACTGGCAACTATGGAAAATTCAAAGCCAGTTTTCTGATGAGGATGTGGGGCTTTTTACAGAAACTTGTCTCGGTAGCTTGACATTTATTCAACAAATCAATATGACTAAGCTAATTAGATTTTCTCCGTAATCGTGTAACTTTTTGATGGCCTGCAAATCCTCAACTTATTCGCGAGTTGCTTTAAAGTCTTCTTGAACACTGGTATTCTAAAGCTGTAAATTATTGGGTTCACGAGAGAATTTGAAACATGTAGGAAATTGGTAAGGTAATTCATAAACCCAGGAAGCAAACCGAGCCACAAGTTGTTGATGTTATACAATGTCATACTTGGAGCCCACAAAGTAACAGATGCGCCTATCACAATAAAGAGAGTCTTGGAGAATTTTGCGTTTTGTCCCACCCGCTTTCTACAGTCTGCTTCATCGATAGCAGGATTTCTGTTGTAAAGTCTTTTACGGATTAATAGATACGACGAGCAAATTACAAATAAAGATAAAAAAATGATGACAGAGTAGGCGAATAAATAATGTCGAAAGTCTATGATACCATTCGTGGTTAAGAAATTAAGTACACCTAGACTCAATCCAGCTAACCATATAATAGCAACGCTGTAGATATAAACCTTGGTGCTTGTTACTCGATGTCGAAGCGGCCAAATCAAGGCGAAGGCTCTCTCCAGTGCAACGAGTACAAGAAAAAATACAGATGCACCAGAAGCCATTGCTAGAAAGGATCCTGGAATTCCCTCCATAAACTTACTGCCATTCAGTTTACGTCCGGCGATGACTGTTTCTACAAGTCCCACAAAAAGGTCAGCAACAGTCAAGTTAAAAACAATAAGGAATGTTCTCTTTAGTTTGTGGCGATGAATCCAGAAAACAAATACAGTAAAAGTATTAGCGATAATAATGAAAACAGACAGGACAAGAAGAACGACCACTATCGAAATCGGAGTCACATCAGACATAATGACAAAGATAATGTTAATTTTGTTGTGGTATACGTTATAGAGGTTAAAGGATTCCAGCTTGCCTTACACACCGTTATGTACACAAGTATCTTTATAAACGCTAGGCCCTTGTGAGTTTCAAGACGTTTGCGTTCTGTAGTTAAATTAATGCAGAGTAGTCGTTGTATTACATGACTGTATTATGTTTTTGTATCGACAGCGCACCTGACCAGCCAAAGGGAAGTTAAAAAATAAAGCTTTGTGCCTCCCAAGGCCGATATTTAATTATTTTACAGATAAACCAATCAGTTGAAAGTAGAATTTTAATAAAAACTACAAAATTAAACTAACCCTATGGCTGCGTATTGAACGAAAGACAGTAGCTTGTCTATAGATATTAATTACGGTCGCTAAAGCACCAATGCGCACCAATGGTGGATGGGTATGGTCCAATTAAAAGGTAGTAAGTTCATTTTAGTTTTCTTGACACAACTTTATATTGCATGGAGAGAATTTGCAGGGAATATGATTACTGTGATAATATACCGGATCGAGGGAGGACATCCATAGTGCTGCAATAACAATTTGTTTTGTTTGACTATTCCTATAATTAACGATGCTGTGGATAGTAATATTCGTCAATTTGAACCTATAGTAAGTGGTTTTTGATGTACAGTGCAGTGGGTTGAGTTATCGAATATTTATTAATTAAAAAAGCGGATTGATGAATCCAAGAGTGATTAACGTATATTTGATTTCATAATGTCTTTGAACATTGAGTATGTCTTTCAAGGAACACGCAGCACATTCTAAAAAATAGATTTAAAGGCTTAGAGAGTAGCCGCACAAGACCCATTTTCTGAGTATTTTGTTGGAAATACCGTATTGTGATTCGGGCTGGCGCTTAAAGTCAGGTCGAATTCGACAACTTATGTCATGTTTCATGCCAATATAAACTTGCTGCAAATCATCAAAATATTTTTCTAAATTTGCATGAAATTGAAGATTAGAAGATTTTTACTGACTTGATCAACTAGAATACAGGCTGTTGAGGCGTAAAAGCTCCCTTTTAAAACGTGTCGAACATTTTAACTAACTGTATAACTCTTTGATGGCTTGACAACTTTAATCTTATTTCTCACTTGTTGTATGGTTTTTTTTGAATACTGGTATTCTTAAACTATAAATAATTGGATTGACAAGGGAATTGGTGATGTGTAGCATTGTGAAAATGTGAGTCACAAAATAAGGAAACAGGCTTGGATACCATACACTGATATTGTACCATGTAACGCTGGGAACCCATAAAGCAACATATGCTCCTATCACGATAAAGAGAGTCTTGGAGAGTTTTGTATTTTGTTCAGCACTTATTCTGCTTTCTGCTTTGTCGATAGCAGGAGTTCTGTTGTTAATTCTTTTCCTGATGGACAGGTAAGACAAACAAATCGTAATCAGGGAGAAACCAATGATGACCGCCGCACCAACCACGAAATACATGAATTTGTAGATTCCAAGTAAAGCAATGAAACCGCTCACACCGATAGCTATCCCAGTTAACCATACGATAACTACACTGTAAATGTAAACCTTGGTGCTAGTTACACGATGACCAAGCGGCCAGATCAGAGCAAAGACTCGTTCCAGAGAAATCAGAACGAGAAATAATACAGATGCGAACGAGAATACAATTTGTAAAGAAGGCCGAATGACTTCTTGGATTGTTTTGTTTGAGTGAATTTGGCTTGCTAAAGTCCATCCACCTGCGACCTCTATTATTTCTGTGAGCCCAGAGAAAAGGTCAGCTACAGCCAGGTTGATAACGAGAAAGCTTGTTCGCGTTAGTTTCTTTCGATGAATCCAGAAAACAAACACAGTGAAAGTGTTAGAAATAAAAACAATGAAGGAAAGAAAACCAAGAAGGCACAAAATTGCAATGGCTGCCGTATCATTTGTCATAACGACAGAGATAAAGTTAAATGAGTTTTTTTTTCGGAGAAGAATAACGCGTATGAGAGCCTACCGGTGTGGTAAAGTTACCTGAACTACCTTGGGGTGAAATGACTCTACATATCAACACAGTTGTACCAAAAGAGCTTCAAGAAAGATAATGAATGATTAACACCAAGTCAATTTAATTTGTGAGACTGATTTACATATCTCACTTCAACACAAAAGGTAGAGGAAGAAGAACATGATGATGAAGAAGGCCTTTACTTTGACATTAATGATAAAAGATAGCTTGATAAAAACAAGCCTGTGGGGTCGAGTGTAAATTAAGGAAAACTATTATTTATATGAAAAAAAATAAAACAGCTAACATCAGATGTGGACAATATTTACAGTGAGATTTGGTAACGCTAGGAACCCACAAAGCAGCAGATGCACCGATCATGATAAAAAGAGTCTTGGAGAGTTTTGTATTTTTTTCGATGTTTATTCTGTTGTGTTCTGTTAATTCCTGTGAAACTTGAAAGTTATTTTCTCAGGTTCCCGTTAGAAATTGTCTTAGTGTTATTAGTAATGGTAACAGGACTGAGTGGAGTCCAATTCGGTTTGTAATCATACGAGTGATTAACAAAATTGGACGACCGCGTAGCGGGAGTCCGATTTAATTGTTCAATCACGAGTATTATTAAAAACCGAATTGGACGACACGAGGTTCTGTTACCAATTAATCATAACTTTAACAAAAATTTGTGATATATAAAGCTCTTTTTAAAATGAAAACACAAGAAATTCCAAGATTTTTGCTAGCAGTGAAAAAGAAAAGCCATTTAATCTCGCGCGTGATGGCGCGTACTATCCAATCACTTAGCCATGAGGCGTACTGTCCAATTAGGCTAAAATCAGGGCAGTTGATAGCCAATCAGATTTGACAAATTTTGTTATAGTTATGATTCCTGTTATTAGCGGAGCTCCCGCGCGCGCGAAGCGCGCGCGCAGCGGAGCACCATGGGTAAGAAAATTTGGTAAGCTATCCATCCTAGAAAATTTGGTTATGACGTAGCGTACGCCCGTCCGTACACACACTTCATGTAAGCCGATGTCAAATGTCACAATAGATCTTGCACAGCTTTACTAGTCTCTTAGTTATGTAAGCCATCCGTATGAATACGATTAGATTGACAGCTGTCAAAATCAGACATCCGCTGACAATTATCACATGACCGTCTCGCAGGCTCAGATAAAAGACCAGTCGTTTTGCCCCTATCAGGAGCCCATCCATCCTCCTGCCCCTGTATATAACCTGATATAATATGTCACACTTACCAATTCAACATAAAAACGAAACTACGCCGGGCAAGGCTGTCAGTTGGCTGACAGTCGTTTAAAGTTACATTGGCAGGCCAAATTAAGGTCAATTGACAGCTGTCAAAATGGGACATGTGCAGACCGCTATCAGAAAACTAATAACGAGGGCTCAGGTTCGCTCAGGTACACAATCATTTTCCACTACATGCCGGACGGAAATGTCCCACTCACACTCGTAGTCTGTTAATTCGAATATTCGCCCTTCTAATGAAGGTTAATTGACAGCTGTCAAACTAGAGTATACGCTGACCATTATCACCTGAGTGGATCGCGGGCTCATTTTTCTATCTATTGAGGTCACGTAGTGTTTAAAGTTTTGCGCTGAAATTTTATTTGATCATGGGCTCAATTCGAAGCCCCATAGCTTTATAGAAAATCTATCCATCCTAGAAAATTCGGCAATCACGTGACCGTACACTGACCACCCGACCTTCCGTCCGTCCGCACCACAGGCATACCAATGTTTAATCTCACACTTTCTAGCTAGTTTGGGAGCCTGCAACCTGATATTGTACATCCATGTTTTGATTAATTGACAGCTGTCAAAACAGTGTTTCTGCTGACCAGTATCGCCTGACCGTATCGCGGGCTCAGGTATCGACCCTCTGAGTTCGAGTAATATTTTGAAGGTACTCGCTGACAAGTTGCTACTTTTCAAATGATCGCAGGCTCAAGTTCAATTTTTTTAAATGCATATGAAATAAGTCGTGTTTCATTAGCCGCACTTTTAAAATGTTGATTTCGAACTGATCTCGGACACGAAAAATTCAATCGGCTTTTACATTTACATCAGGGAAGGCAATCGCTTTTGACTTTTCTCACTGTCACGCGTTGATCACGCTCTACGTCCAATTTTTGGTCAAAATTTGACAGGTGAGTTTATGCGGAAAATTTTTGCAGCGTCTGGAAACTTGCTTACTGATAGCTGAAGGTGAGAGAGTTTTGTGTCATCTTGTTATGTTTTAAACTGTCTTTTTCTACTTGGTGTACAAAATGAAATCAGCTGCTATCAAGATTGTTGTGTAATTCGTGGCTGGTTTGTTTATTGCGCTTTTTGTTGACAAATGCACCGCTTGTCAAAGTCATTGGAAATCCGATTTCGGATGGCATCGTTTTCAAAAATGAGCTTACTCACTTGCCCTTGCTTGAGGCGTAAGAAGGTTGAAAAGTCTCAGGCGATTCTGGAACACTTGATGACCTTCAGAAGCAGCATCTCGACTGGTAAGCCTGAGCCATTATTGTTTTTGATTTTTTTTTGTTTTTTCGGTTTCCTGAAGTCGAGCGTATGGTTTATGCGGCTTAAGTTAAAACACGAACAATGATCTAACCTACAATAGTATCAGGTTTAAAAAGCCTTTAGACATTTTTTGACCCGCAAATTCAAAGAAAAGGTTCCAAAGATTATTTAGTTATGATTTTGGCTGTAAACAGAAAGCTCTGAGCGATTTTCTTGCCTCGAGTTCATCTTGAAAAAGAGCGAACACCGGCTTAAAAAGCTTAAGCCGGCTTAAAACATAAATAAGCTTATGCTTGCCTGACTCATGATTTTCTGAGACACTTAACTATCAATACTTCTCTTCCTGAATGAAAATTATTGTCTCTGTACATGTTTCACCGAATTAAACTTATTTTACTGATTGTTAGTAGTCCCTCTCGCAATTTTCATCGCTGCACCGGTTGTTTCCAGTCGAACATAAGGCCGCGCGTAAATATCACTCGCTTTTAAAGATTACACATAACAAAATCATACACAGTTTAATGAATAAAGGGAAATAAAACTTAAACATAACAATTTCTCTATCATGTTGAAGCGTAAATGGTAACTCTATTAATCGCACTGCAAATTTGGTGCCTGTCAAAAGTGAGAACCCGTCCGGCTGGCCGAAAAGTGATTTTGGGAATTTTTTTTATCGTTTTCATTAAAAGCCCATAATTATTACCCCGCATATCACATAGGACCAGATTTTTCTAACAGAAAACGTTTTATAATTCATTAATGCCATAATCTGTTGTGCAAAGGAAGCGCGTGCTTTGATCGTCGTGAATATTGAATGAGTACAAATTCTCTTGCAAAATTGTGAAAAACTGCAGAATTATAGGTTTAAATAGGGCAAAAAAAGAACAAATTCTGTCCGAGGTCTGTGTACTGTTTACCTGAGACGTGATGAGAAAAAGTATGTTTAAAAGGCTGGTTTACACGCCACCAGATTCGTCGCCAAGATTTACTAGTAAACTAAACTTGTCGAACACAAAAAATCCGGCCTGATTTTTATTTTGGCCTCTCTTTTAAACAGAGGAATGCAACGTGTAAATTGGCTGCCACCAAGGACTATCGTGGCGCATGTGTTTCTTAAAATTATATTTTGGGGTTGTCCAATTATCCATAGTCTCTCTAACGGAGCAATGTTGGAGAGACTGGTGAATGTCACATTATGATGCTACAGCTAATGCAAATACAATACACGAATAGGTTTATTTGTTTTTCAGGCCTAATCTACTGTGATCGAACATGATTGCTATTTTTCGGTGTACAAATAACTTGATGTAAAATTTGTTTCACTCTTGGACTGTCAATTTCTGATTTTTCTCTAAAATCACTCAGCCTTTGCCTCAAAAGTCAAATGAATGTGCCCTGATCTGTGGATTACAAGTTTATTGTTTGATTTAAATTATGAATTTATTAACGGGAGCTTCGCTTTTAGCCCTGGCTAAATCTATATATTAACATACATGTACAAAGCGCTAAATGATTTTGCTTCTAACTATGTTTCCGATCTCATTGACATCTATGTACCTGAACGTAATCTCCGGTCTGCGCAAAGTCGACAATTGGTTCAACCAACTTAATTCAACTTGCGTACCTATACACAGGGTCCAGAGGAGTTTCGTGTGACTAAATGAATTACTTATTTAAAGTCTCACCTTGAAAAATGTCTATACCTGTTGCTTAGCACAATTAGTTAGCCCAATGGGATCTTTATAAACTGTTATAAATCTACTGTAAACGATTTCTTCGCTTCTTATCTGACCCAGATCGACTTTTGAAAATCAATAACCGCAAGCCATATCCTCGCTGGCGCACGGCACCTCGCCCGAAAGGTGACCGAAGGCCGTCGCCCGAGGAACGAAGTGCCGAGTAAAAGAAAGGACGTATTTTATACTGTAAGCCAATCTTGCGAGCCCTAAGTCTCTTGATTTGCGGTCTATAGAATGTGTAACGAAACTGTAAAGCGATCATAAATAACCCATTTTTTTAGACAAACACATCTCCTCTGGACCCTGTGACCTATATGGCTTCAGGGCGTTTTTATGCGCTTCTCCTTTTTTATGGAATTCTTTGCCACACGAAAAGTGCTTTTAGATAGAAAGTTTAAGTTTAGTGTTCTTTTGAAAAAAGATGTATTTTTTTGCTTTTTTCAACCTTTTTCTAGCTCTAGGTTGTAGTTTTAGAATTGTTTTTTTTGTTTATTTTTTAAATAGTTGTTTATATATATATTTTTTCTAGCCTCTTCTATCTCTAGGTTTTAGCCAAAATTAATAACAGTGATTGTAAATTTTGTTTTGCAGCTTTTTAATATTTGGTTAGAGTCTATTTGTAAGCCATGTTTTATATTGTAAGGCAGGTTTTTTGTCGCTGTGAAGCACTATAGGGTATTATTTTTTTAATGGACATAGTGCTATATAAATAAATAAATATTATTACTATTATTACAGGTATAACTAATTACATCTATAGCCTTTGAAAAGCGTAAAAAGGAATACTAATAATGGCTTAAAATTTTCTGGAACAAGGCTTTTGTCCACTGAAAATTAAAATTACTCATTTTCCTGATGGATTTTTTCGTTAATGTCTTCTCATTATTTATCAACCCGTCAGTTTAATAATACTTTTTTTTACCATGACATATTCGCAAATTTCATTTATTTTAGATTTTAACCATTATGTTTGTTCACATAATATTTCCTTAATTTTTAATCACTGAAAAAAGGGGAACTTTTTTTAAACTTTTTCCGCTTTCTAAATAAAACGCTTAAAATAAAGTTATTGTAAAAATACAGATGACCAAGGGTGAGACAAGAAACTAAGAGACGGTTTTGTTTTATTGCCCATCAGTCGTGGTTACTAAATTTTTGTTTAAAGTTATACATGTAGATATTTTTCTTTTTATTTCGTTTAAATAATTTTAGCCTTTTACTTCGGCTTAAATCTATTATTTTTTTAAAAGGTATGAGTCAATCTCTGGTAAATTTTTATCTAAGAATCACCCCAAATATAATATTAAAAGACGTCTAAATCCGGCGGAGGCACTGCCAAGCAAAATGTTGACCATCAAATTTTAGACGAAAAATCTCAAGCGGTTAAAAAAGAGAAAAGAAAAAAATCGGCGCTAAAAAAAAATTCGAGAAAACTTAAATATGCTTTAGGAATCATCTCTGCTTTTATATTAAAAATGGACTGAAGAAAATCCCGTCGCCTCCTTTTAAACCCGGCTC